TGTGAGCCTATATGGTGAACTAAAGATGTTAGAGAGGAGAAAGCTGCATTTGTCTTCTCTGAGTCGTCTTCTCCAAGCACAGCAGTGTATCAGGGCCGGTCCGGAGTACCGACCCTGTAATAGGTACTTAGTTCTCTCCCAAAAACAGCTCTGAAAAAGATTTAACAGGGATGGTTTAAAATATTTAAAAGTTAACCAGTCACCACCCTGAACCAAGCAAAAGATTACTGCAGCTTCTTCAGAGCATGTTCAGTAGCATCTCCTGCAACATTACATCATCACCTCCACGCGTCCGTCTTATCTCACACCTTTCCAGGCCTCTCGTTTCAATACGAGTCAGCATGGAACATTAAAAGTCCGCTGGAGGTTAAGTCTGCATTCTACTCATAGAGCTAAGATTTGGTTAATTCGTTCCACTAGGTCCCGACAGACACAGCTGTCTTTTCAACTGGAAGACACAGTGATCTCAGACCAGAACTGTTTTATGTGCTTGTTTGTGAACTCAAGGACGCGTTATGGTCAAAATGTAAAGAGTTTTCAGTGTAAATCTGCCAGTATTGTTGCTGTAAAAATAATAAAAATGCACCATTCAGTTCTAGAAAGCTTGACAGACACAGCAGCAGTAACTGATAATGCAGGACTGAATCAAGTTAACATGAACTTCTGCCTTCTTGCCAATACAAACTAAATGCTAACAAGTACAGTAATTCCTCTCTCCAGTTGTCCTTGTTCTCTCTGTGCAGTTTGGGAGAAATCCTTTCGCAGCTGTATTTCAGTTTTGCTGAGCTGGTCCAATTTCCTGCTTGACTTCCTGTTCGTTTGCACTTGAAACTATGTTTAAACATTTCTGTAAAATAAAACTGATTAAGCATAAGGTTAATGGAGTGGAACTTTAAAAATGGAAAAAAAGAAACACACTTTTCCAGAGGTCAGTTTTTATTGGACTGGTCCATATGGAGTTGAGTAGTTCAATTGATTTTCTTCCCCCACACGCACACACACACACACACACACACACACACACACACACACAGTCTCCATGGCGACCACAGAGGAGATGGTAAATGTGATGGATTAACACTCTCTCGCCCTCTCTATGAACTGACCCTCTTTTTCCACTCCTTGTCCCGGCAGGAGGAGGTGGCTCGCCTGGAATCCCTGCAGCCCCAGGTGGACCTCCTGGAGAAGCAGCTGAAGGAGCTGAAAGAGGAGAAGGAAGGGGACGAGGACCCTTCAGCCTTCCTAGATGCTGACATCAACGCCTTCAAAGAGCACTACCAGAATGTCCTGGAGGATCTGAGGGCCAGAGAGAGGCAGCTTCATTTGGGTGAGAGAGAAGAAATGCTGGTTTAAAGCAGGTCTTTACAAGTATATGTAGAGCTTTGTTCACAACTATATATACGAGTGTACTTGACTGATCCCTTAGTTAAAGTACCGGCTCAGCCACGGTAGATAGGGCTGAAAGCCTTGACAGTGGCGCTTTGTGCTGGGGCTTGAACCCTCCAACCTTGAACCCCCTACTTCTGATCAGGAACCCAATGCCTTATCTGCTGAGCCACAGCTACCCTGTTGTAGAGATGGCCTGGTTTACTGCATTTCAACATTTGGTTTGTGCAGCTTGCCATGGTCTTTGCTGCATTTCTAAAATGTCCAGATTGCAGATTTGGACATCATTTTTATCATATGTGTCACCACACCAGCTTGACTGCTACCTGTGGCAATTTGCCAATGCTGCTGACCTCGGCACACAAAGCGTCCAAAACAATCCAACTAAGCTTTAGCATTGACTAGCCGTGTAAACTCCAGTCACACGTGCCACATTATGCAGTTATATATATATATATATATCATGTTTCTGGTCACCTGGCAAGCAGTGTTCAGCATTAACTCCCTTGATCAGAACAGACCTGTCCATTTGGGCATCCCCAGAGGGAAAGAGTTGCCAGAACAATGGCTTCATAAAATACTTCTAATTCTACTTTATACCAACATTAAGGGAGGATTGATCATTTGGTCCAACGGCAGGTCACACTGTGTGTTTCCTTCACATCAGACAGGTGAGCTGTGACACAGTGACAGTAAAGGTTTAAACCACTTGTTACACAGCAGCTGTCTTCAGGTTGAGGGTTGAGCTTCATCACAGCTGTCGGTATGTTTTTGTTTTAGTCTTGGTACACTAGTGACATTATTATGACAAGTAGACAGAACTTCCAATGTGTGCATTATTAGGAAATGACACTTGGAGTCTCCGTTGCTGTCTTTGGTGGGTATATCTGACTGAAGATGTGAAGAACATTCTGTCAACATGTCTGATGAGAGACTGGTGTCACTTTAACAGGCTGGTGAAGTAGCAGCTTTACATATCCAACTGAGCACCTCTGCTGTTTGGTGTTGAGCAGTGGATTTTTAGTACTTTATCTCTGAAAACAGCCAACACTATGAAAGTGGAGGGATGAAACCAAACAGTGCAGCTGGAAGCCAACAGTCACTATATTGCCTTTCAAATGCAAAGAGCAGCATCCATGCAAATAGTAACGCTCTGAACAAAGGTTTGGTGGCTCTTCAGTCAAATGGTTTAACAGGTACGTTAAACAATCACACAGTTCTGCTGGTTGTTAATATTTATAAACGAATGAAATGAAATGAAAAATACTTTATTTATCCCAGAAGGGAAATTCAGTAAATATTTTATATATATATATATATATATATAAATATTATACAGGGGAAATGCAGAATTAACAACAAAAAAAAGTGCTATCTTCCTCGGTTTCTTTACCGTTCATTTAATAATTAATTATGAAGTAAAAATATCGGCATCTAAATGCATCTTAACCATAAAATCACATGACATGACTAGAAACAGCGGCTGTGTTGTGAAGCTAGGCTACTCAGCATTTTAACATCTTAGCTCTCAGACACTTCTCTGTTCTCTACAGTACAATTTAGAATTCAGTTTTTGTCTCATTTATGTGGTCACAAACTCAATTTCATGAATATCTAAGCACCAGAGCTTATTTTTAGATTCTATTCAGGAAGTAAAAGCAGATGAATTGTCTATATCTATCTGGTTTTATGTCTCTTTTGGATAGTTTTCTCACAGAGCTCTGGGACTTGCAAACAAGAAATACGACAAGCTGCTTCGTATGGAGACGCTGGCCCTTAAAATAACCACACAAACATGCTTGCACTGTGTCACATTCATTCCAACTACTGCCTGCTGTTTATATTTTCCAGCTCAGTGGGTCTTATGGAGTTTCAAGGTGGGAGGGATCAGAAATGGTTCCAGGAGTGTTTTCTCCTCATATTCAAATTTCAGTCTTTTTCTTTTAATATTATCCTTAATGTTTGCTGAATATAGGGACTGAGGACTCTTCTGGATAATGTCAGACTCATATAGGTTTGTGTTCAGACCATCAGTTTGAGTTATTTTAGCTCAACACCAGCAGTTAGAGACGGGTCATGTTTGGCATAGTGTAAATAGTACAATGTCCAGGAGCCTCAGCCACTGTTGATATGGAAAAGAAGTGACGAGTCTCTTATGCTGGTTTTATCCACAAATGCACCAGAAACTTGAAAGAGGCTGATTAAAGCTGCAGACGGTAAAATGAGTTTTGTCAAAACTACAATTTTTAGCTTCCACCCGCTGCAGAGTTCATGTGTTTTTAATGCTAATACACACTTTGGGGGCTGCACGGTGGGTCTGTGGTTAGCGCCGTTGCCTCACAGCTAGAAGGTCGTGGCACTGGTTGTTCTTGTGTGTTTTCTGGTATTGTTGTGGACTTTCAGTTCTTAGCCATTTCAAAACAAAAAAAAACAAATAAAATCATCATTTTCTCTCCATATTTTCCTCAGGCCCATGCTCTGGGTTCTTTAGAGAATATCCTGTAAGTGGCTGAAAGTTCACAGCCTGTCGCAGCACACACACCGTATCACACTGACTTGGAGGGATAAACGTGTCCACCCACAAGAGCAACAACAACCCAGCAGTCAGCACAGACACACTTGTTTTGACTGCTGGACAATGAAACTAATTTTACTTAGATCATACAAACACATTGGCAGCCTGCAGCAACGTCCACAGTGTGGGTAGATGCATTCAGTTATATCACAGAGTGTTTATGTGTTTGATTTGACACATGTTGGAAAAGGTTGTTTAATACATAAATCTGCCAGAAAATAGAACTTTTTATGCTGCATGATAGTAATTATTTATTTCCCAGACTGAGCTAAAAAATCAAGTCAAAGATGCTAATATTTAAACCTACCTATGGTCAGCCTTGGATATCATAGTGTCTTATCATTACCAGCTCCAGGTGCATTAATGCTCACGCAGACTGTTAGGAATTATATGATCTGCTGGCTTTGTACAATATCTACATGCCACTTATGAAAAAAGAAAGTTAAGTAATTGTAAAACTGACTGAGAAGTTCACTTTGAGAGGAAGAGGAAAATCAAAAAGTCTACCAACATTTAAAGTTAGTGAAGTTACCAACAAACCAAATCCAACAAATCAGTTGTAACGGCTTCATACTACTACAAACTACTCACTCGACGTTTCATGGATACACAGTCCTGCACAAACATGTTAGACTCCTAACCATCCCCAGTACCATGGGACGTCTGACAGCTCCTGAATCCATTCTGCAGCAGCATCCATATTATTTATCAATAAAACAATCCTCCCTCCTAGAGGTACAAGCTTCATTAATGGCCACTCCAGAGTGCAATCTGTCTTATGAATGTGCTGCCATGCATGGTACCTGTCTACCATGAGGAGCAGCTCTGGGTTCACTTCGGTGCATGGCGGGACCAGAGGTTTGAACTGTTGGGATTAGTGGACACCCTGCTCAGACATACACCGTGTGCAGTGCTGTAACAGGCGCCTATCATCTGACGGCCTCTGTGACGTGTCTCTCTGTCTTTCGGCGTCTGTCTCTAGTTTTGGAGAGCCTGCCCCCGGCCCGTTACAAGGAGACCATAGCCACGCTGTTGGCATGGTTACAGCAGTGCGAGGCCAAGCTGGCCATCCCATCGACGGCTGTTACAGAATATCCTGTGATGGAACAGAGACTGAAAGACATTCAGGTACACACACACACACACACACACACACACACACACACGCACACACTTGCAGTGACATGTTCCTGTTATCTGGAGTTTGTGTATTTAGAGGTGCTGTGATTTCTATTATGTGCTGTCAGATCCATGTACGTGATTGGAAATTGTTCTTATCTATGCTTCTGGTTCATATTCACACACAGGGATGCATGTTGTGCTGTGGAACATACACATTCATTCATTTATCTTCAGTGAGTTTTCAGGATGTATTCTGCTGTTGTGTTGCAGCTTAACAGAGGAGCATGATGAGGTTCTGCTGCTCCAGAACTCCACTCTTAATTAGATCAATAAGATGAAATAAATCATGTAAAACTGAGAGTTTAGCGATTTTGATGCTAAAACTAAACAGAATGACAGTGGTGTTGTAGTTCACGCCAGTCCACTGTAGCTAAACAAGCTGAATGAGTGTTTAGTCCCAGGTATGAATGATGACAGAGAAAGTTAGTGGCACGAAGGTTTGTCATATTCAGATTAGTGAATACCAAAATTATGACTGTTATACAATACCTGCCTTAGTACCAACATGACATTACAGTTCAGCTCTTTTCACGAACCCTCTGAACACCCAGCAGTCTCTTTGTTATCCTTCAACTTATATCGAAGTGTTTTCACCTCTTACACTTTAACTGGCATCAGAGTTATTTTCATTGCTTGAACTTTGTCCTGAATTTCCCTCTGGGATTAAGAAAGTCAGTCTAAGTCTAACTTGGACAGTTTGAGTCTAACAAAGATTGCTTTCAGTCACATTCTCTAACTTGTGGACATTGTTTTGAAGACTAACCTGAGCTTGAATCGAGCAGAGTCGTGTTGGAGGTGGTTGTAGTGGCATATCACTCTGAAATAAAAAACTGGTAATTATTTTATTAGGTGGACATACTACAACCTCACCATCTACCCAGGCTTTATCTGATAGATAGATTCGCTCTGTACTACTGTGTATGCTCTTGACAACACTGCTGTTCAGATCTATTTACAAATTCCCATAAAATGCCAAAATGGGACTGGCCCTATAATCCTGTGAGGGGATATAACACTGTAATCAGTTTTTACTACAAGTAGTAAAGTTATATTGCCCCTGGCAATGCCAAACTGCCAAAGCAGCACTCTTTTAAAAGGATGCTTTCTGCTGTTTTTTTGCGGTAGCAGGCAGAGGACAGAGAAGGGAGAGAAAACAGATGGTATGGCCCATTAACCTAAAGACTGATTCATCTCCACCACCTAGTCAGTAAACTGTACGCATCTGATACACCAAGATATCCTCAAATCACGGCCGTAAAAATGAAATCACTGTAGAATGACTCGTTAGGGAAGCTTGAGTGGGCTTTTTAGAAGAAAAGGTCATTTTTGAGGTTTGCCTGGGACACAACCAAGTCTTAGTGGCAAAGGAGGTTTTTTAGGTGGCAAGTTACAGTACAGGGCTGCAGGTGTCTCGGTGGTTAGTACCGTCACCTCCCAGCTAGAAGGTTGCTGGTTCACATCCCAGTGAGGACGCCCGGAGTCTTCATGTTCTCCCCGTGCAGCGTGGGTTCTCTCCGGGTTCTCCGGCTTCCTCCCACAGTCCAGAAACATGCTGAGGTTAATTGGTGATTGTAAATTGTCCGTAGGTGTGAATGTGAGTGTGCTTGGTTGTCTGTCTCTAAGTGTAGCCCTGTGATAGACTGGCGACCTGTCCAGGGTGTCCCCTGCCTTCGCCCTAAGTCGGCTGGGATAGGCTCCCGCCCCCCGCCACCCTAGTGAGGATTAGGCGATGTTTAGATAATGGTTGGATGGATGTTCTTTCATAGCTTGCTATTGTCCTGTATCCTGTGAGCTGTGACCTTGATTTGAAGCAGCAAAACCATCAGAAACCATAAGAAGCATTTTAATTCTAGTCAAAACCAGCGATATGATGAAGCCTGACTTGCAGAGAGGACACTGGAGCGGGTCTGATGTCGGTGTGAGTGTGTTTGTGCGTTTGATTATGAGTTGATTATAAGTGAGCCAAATCCGAGTGGAGAAAATCAGTGTTTCTGTTTATCACAGTGTCCACCCACAGACACACACAGCACAGAAAAAGTGCTGCGAGTGTCAGGTACATACAGTCAGAGGCGAAGGTACACACACATTTCACTGTGTCAGTGTTAATCTGTATTTACAGTAAAAAGAATACAAGTCTTATGTCCTTTATAAATTACTTTGTTGGCGTTTCTAAAGTGCTGATTTTTATCTCTGACTTAAGTCAAGGTCACACCATGGAAGAAAGTGTGTGTGCGTGTACATGTTTGTGTCCTGTCTGAATTTGATAATGGTCCTGTAGCGAGCTGAGAGATCAAGCCTTGCAGCCTGAGATTAATTAAAGTTGATTGTAGATTATAACAGGAACCCATCCTGCATACTAACAAGCCAATTTATTGTGTTATTTCAGCACAACTCGTTCGCCTCTCATAGCCGGTGATTTTCACTCGTGTGTACGCTCGTACGCAAATGTTTGTGGCTGGAAACAATCACTCTACACAAATAACACTATCTCCTCTCATTCTGGTTATATAAAGTAAAGGACCACTGCTGATAGATGGATGGATAGATAGATAGATAGATAGATAGATAGATAGATAGATAGATAGATAGATAGATAGATAGATAGACAGATGTTGTCTGTTCAGTCAGTTACAGTTAAAGTATCAGAGATCTGTCTGTGATTCCTGACAAAACTGGATAAAAATCATCGAGAGAAAGAAGGAAAGAAGCTTGATCTTGACACAGAAATCCACCGTGATGCCTCTGTGCTTGAGCTTCAGGTTGAAGCAGCAGGACTGTGTGTACGCCATGCTAGCTGAGCTATGGCGTCTCCTCTATGGCCTGTGCTTGAACTAAGCTAGACTAAGCCTCTGAGCTATCTTGGTGTGAACAAGGCTTTCTTTTCAAAAATGTGCACTGCAGATCACCGAAGGTTCAGCAGGAATACCCTCATCCATTCACTCGTAATTTAACCTGCAAGGCAGGGTAAGCAAAACCAAATGGTGCGAGAAGCTTTTCATTACTAAATGTTAAGTGTGGCAGCCAAGTGGTAAGTTGACTCGTGACTCCTCATGCTTGCTCTCACTTCTGTCCTCACTCTGTGACCTGTAATATAATAGACAAGCTGCTGAAATGACTTCATGCCCAGAGCATTTAGGCTCTGTTGCCTTGAGTTGTGAGAGAACACACCGTAGATGGTTGTCCAGCTAGTCATGTGAAGATGTGACACGTGTTTTCAACTGTGTTTGTACAGACACTGGTTGATAAATGGATCAGGAAAATGCCAGCATGCTGACTGATTTGTGGATGAACATGTTGCTAACACTCTATAAAATATGCTCATTGACTGTATAAAACTACATATTTTATAAATATATACATACAGTCATGGGAAAAAATGATTAGACTACCTTGTTCAATTTCTTGTTCCTTTTCATGCCTGGTGCCACTAAAGGTACATTACCTGAAGAATACAATGAACAGAAAATGCAGCTGATTACATCATACTTTATGTCCTATTCGACACACTTAAGCTTAATTGTATTCCCTGTAGGGTATATGGGACTGCCACTAAGAGAACCTGAGTAACACAGCAGTCTGCTCCACCAGAGCTGCTAATTCAAGTCGCTGTATGTGTATTTTCAACCCAGCCGATTTGGTAATAAGACCTGTAGCGAATTTATGAAAGTGTTCTTAATAATTTGATCATGAAAAATGAAAGACATGGGACTCATTGGACGTGTATGAAAGCGTTTGTTCTCATCAGTATGTGCTTTATCTTTGAAGGAGAGCTTCCTGTTACTCAGGAGAACAGCACAGGTTCATCTCATCCCCACAATGACAGATTTGTGCCTGCTGTACGTTAGAACACTTCCGAAACACTGTCCGCTTCTCTTCCATTTTTGTCAGTAACACTGTGAAATTTGTCCACCTGAGACTTGCTCTGTCTTGCTTTAATATTGTAAAATCCCACGTTAAGCCTTTTTTAGTGACTCCTTCCTTCTTGTTGCAATTACAGTCCAATCCCAGAATCCACAGTTTATTTCCTGACTGCCTGCATCCCAGTGCAGTCCTCTATCTTGTACCTCTAATGTGCAATATTAACTTAAACAGCTCCTGAATCTCCATCATTATCTTGTGTCCCTGTCCTCATATCAGATTCATCAGGCCATGCTACAGCATTTATATTGTATTTTAATTTGCCAAGATATAAATAAACTGTGTCTCAGAGGCACAGATAGGTTAAAAGGAGAGATTGTTTTAGGTTTACATTTATCAGCAGCTTTCACCAGTCAGTCAGGGATGAAGTTGACTGATGCTGTTGTTCATGTCGTGATTCTACAGCTTGATGACGAGACTGTAGATGGAAACTGAACATAGGGACCATCTCAAAGCTGCACGCAGTACGGCCACAAGAGCAAATTTAAGATGAGATCAACTTTAATCATCCTGAAGGGAATTCTTAAATGTTTGCTGTATGTCTCCTTTTTGCCTCCGACCAACACTGTTTGAATCCTGATCTCCTCCTTCCCATCTCTCGTATTAATGCCCCATATGTTCCACATCCACTGCTCTTTTTCACCCAGACGACACATCTCCGACTTAGTTTAGACTGTTTTCTTTTTCAAATAGTGACAGTAGTTTTGTCTGTCGTGTTTTATAGCAATCATCTCAGTTTTTACATGCACATAGAAAGTCGAAGCACACAGATTTACAATAGTAATTCTTCCCAACTGGGGCTGCAGGTGGCTCAGTGGTTAGCACCGCCGCCTTGCAGCTAGAAGGTCGCCGTCCCGGTGAGGACTCCCGGGATCTTCCTGTGTGGAGTCTCCATGTTCTCCCCGTGCAGCGTGGGTTCTCTCCGGGTTCTCCGGCTTCCTCCCACAGTCCACAAACATGCTGAGGTTAATTGGTGATTGTAAATTGTCCGTAGGTGTGAATGTGAGTGTGCTTGGTTGTCTGTCTCTAAGTGTAGCCCTGTGATAGACTGGTTACCTGTCCAGGTGAACCTGCCTTCACCCTGAGTCAGCTGGGATAGGCTCCGCCCCCCATGACCCTGGTGAGGATTAAGGTGTAGAGATGATGGATGGACGGATTCTTCCCAACCGACATTTTGACTTGTCTTAATAGGAAAATCACGGTTGTTACAAGTTCCATGTCCCAGTCAGTCAGGACACTGTGGTAGTGACCCAGCATGAACAGGAGTATCACCGACAATACTACCACTGTGTGTCTGAACATCTACTGCTAGAAACGGCTCTGTACACTGCACTGCATCCCATACTCTGTCTTTTTCCTTTTCTCATTCCATGTGTTTGCTCCACCCCTCCACCCCACAGGCTCTCCAGGTGGCGATGGCCGAACACCAGGGAGAGGTGGACTATCTGACCGCAGCCGTAGAGCAGGTCTTCCAGAAAGCTCCCCCAGACATCAGCCAGAAGTAAGACAGGAGGAATTCAACTGAACTGTTGTATTTTCCAGTGCAGCAGCGTTGCCGCACCATCTCACATTTTTGTTTACTAATCTGTTATTTTGGACCCAAACCTAAGTTCAGTAGAATATTTTAGCAGATATTTGAAAAGTTTTATATGTTTTCAGACCTGGGAATTTGTACATTTTTACCTTCAAAAAGTCTTACCTGGGAAGCCATTTTATGGGTTTAGTGTCTCTGAAAATATAACTCACACAACCATTTAATATGATGAGGACACAGGGGATTATTTGCAGCAGATGTTTGAATGTTTTTGATTATTGGCCGTTGAAAATGGAAGAAAATGCAAATGTTTCAAACAAGGGTGGTATTTGGGCCCCAGCAAGCTCCTGTATATACCATTTAACACGAACCACAGTAGAATTTGATGTGTGGCGAGTACAGCAAGCCACGGTTCCAGTTTATTTTCCTTTGCTATTTTAACATGCCAAAACATAAGTACATGTGGGTCTATGTATAGTCATTGTGTGTGCAAAGTCACACCCCTATAGATACTGGACATGAGCACTGAACAGAGAAACTGATGATAATTCACCACACGAGCTCCTTTAAGTGGAAGCGGGCAGATTTTTGTCATCACTGGGCAATAATTTAATACTTTAACACTCGACTTTTCAGCTCATTGTAGTGAGTGGTCTGAGTGGTGTAGACTTCTCCACCCGGATCTGTTTTCATGCTTTAGAAGCTTTAGCCTGTGATTAGAGGTTTTCACCAATCACAGCTTTTTAAAAGTCACATTATGAATAGCAGCAGCGTTCACAGTGCAGGCAGGACGTGGCAGGACGACAGGGTTACATGGAGGACGTTCGCTCAGGAGGTTGGGGTCTGAATCGTAATTCACTTGGAGTTAGGTTTAGTTGTAAGTTTCCCTTCTATTCGCACTCCCAAAAAAAACTAATTTAAACACTGATCCATGCATTTTTTGTACATTAATAGTTGCTTGTATTGTCACAAAATCAGAATTCAGATTTTTAAACCGTACCTGCTGAAATGATCAACTTTTAGGGACTTTGTGGTGTCTGTAGGCTGCTGGCTGTCAGTGAAATGCTGCTGCGTTTTGTTTGTGCGTCTGCTTCGTAGGTTATCTGATCGGCCAGAACGCTTGTATTTCCAGCTGTGACTCTCATTTTGTCACCATTGAAGCTATATTGTGCTCATGTCACCAACCCAAAAAGCTCCATGGTTTTCTGTGCCGCTGCAGATATCGCACAGAGATGGACGCTATCACGTCCCGTTGGAGACGACTGGGCTCCACGCTGACAGACAACGCCCAGAGGATCCAGGAGCTCATGTCCAAACTGATGCAGTTTGAGGTACGACTGAGGAAAGTTGTTTGCTAAGAGTCAACCTTAAAGACAGAGATGCACAAAAATTTTAAGAATCAATCGGTGTACTTATCATTCCAGTCTGGCTTTCTGTCTAAATCTCTCCCAGAATGATGTCAAGACTTTAAAAAAGTGGATGGCAGATGTGGATGTCTTCCTAAATGAGGAGTGGCCAGCGCTGGGAGACTCTGAAGCTCTGGAGAAACAGTTGGAGCAGTGCACGGTAAGAAACAAACACGCCTCCAGACCAAACTGTTGCTTTTACAATCAACAGAATACATCTGTTATTAAATGTTTTAAATCAGAATGATCAAGGCGAGAGCATAGAGCTGAGAACAGGTCACACAGTGTTGATGAAAATAAAATGGATGTGTGATGAAAATGTCCCAGAGACCTGAAAATAACCTGAAGAAATGTGGAAGACAGCTGTCCTTACATTTCTAATTCCCTTTCAACCACTATTTGGTCAGAATTGTACTTCCTCTATGGGGATCAATAAAGAATTATCTTAGTCATATAACCTTAATGCTGCACTCCCACTGACCAGGCTCTGGTGAACGACATCCACACGATCCAACCCAGCGTCAACGGCATCAATGAAGTCGGACTGTATCTGAAGAAGGAGGCTGAGCCACCATTTGCCGTCCACATCCAGAAAGAACTGGACGAACTCAACGCCCAATGGGAGAATGTCTGCAAACAGGTGTGTAACCTTCCTCCACCGTCGCTGTTCCAGTGCTTGTACACGTCTGTAAAACACTGAGCACTTTGGTCAGTATGTCACCTCCCCTCTCTCTAGGCCTATGCAAAGAAGTCTGCTCTGAAAGGTGGCCTGGATAAGACCATGGCTCTGAGAAAGGAGATGCAGGAGATGCAGGAGTGGATCAACCAAGCTGAGGAGGACTATCTGGAGAGGGACTTCACGTACAAGACGCCTGAGGAGCTACGCAAGGCCGTGGAGGAGCTCAAGGTGTGTGCATGAGTGTGAGTCACGAGGTGGGTGAGGATCTGAGGTGTGTTGTAAGCGTAGGAGAGGAGAAGACATTAGACTCGGTTTCAGTCTGCCATCAGTTCACATTTACTACCAATTAAGCCTGTTTCCCAAAATGCCAAACGACTTCTTTAATTTTTGCAAGCACACATACAGCCTGACGTTGTGCTTTTTTTTTTCATGTATAATTAAAAAGGAGGCATTTGAACCATCTCTGTGAATGTAGACATTTGATTTCATCTCGTGATGATTCTTAGAGGTGGGAGGTTATCATCTCGTTAACAGTGTCTCAGACTATCAACAGGATTCTTACTCGTTTCTTGGTCTGTGTGTCAGAGGGCCCAGGAGGAAGTCCACTCCAAGGAGCTAAAGGTTAAACTCCTGACTGACAGCGTCAACAGTTTTATCGCGAAGGCCCCGCCCACAGCCCACGATGCTTTGCGCTCGGAGCTGGACGTCCTGACAGCCAACTACCAGCGTCTGTGTAGCCGCCTGGATGGGAAATGTAAAACACTTGAGGTACAGTCTTTATTCATTTATGTTTCATGATACACAGAAATGATTTTCATGACGACGTGACGTGACAGAATATATACCAACAGCAGGAACATACAACAGTCCAGCAGACAGCGTTTGTGTGTTTGGGTCGGGGCGTGCAGGGATTCAGATTTGGGGCGATTGTTTTCTCTCATGTTCTTCTATTTCTGATGTGAATGTGTTTAAGAAGGAGTGAGTGTTGGGGTTAGGTCAGCTATGCTGATATCACTGACACAGTGATAGAGTTAATAACAACAGCATGAGAAACAAACAACGATAGGAAGCACAGCTAATGTAACACTGATAATAATGACAGGAATACCAGCACCAAAAGCAGAAATAACAGAGCTAATAACAAAAGCAACAATCATAACACCAGCTAAAATAATTCCAATAATGACAATAGAAGAATGCACGGCATGTTAAAGGGAAACAGCTGATCCACTGAATGACAGCTTTAATAAATGCAGCTCTGCTGTAACTAAAGGAAACATGCCTGTCTTTTGATGTTTTAGACCACAGGTCCTTAAACTGTTTGAGCCACAACCCGCAAGATTAATTCCACAGATTAATCTCTTTACATTAACACGTTCATTTTCGTTTGAATGACTGAATGGATTTAATTTATTTCGAACAAATGATAGGAAAAAAATATATAAACAAAATAAAATCGTTTCAAAAAGAGCAAAAAAGAATAATAATATTGAATAATCAAATCATAATATTAACAAGTCCGATAAAGGAGTGGGAAGAAGTGTACACTTTTAATTCTGACAGCCCTGATACACATTGATTTGATAAGTGTAGGCTTTATTTTATTTTATTTTATTTTTTTACAATGATCTGGCGACCCCCTGAAATTATCTTGGGACCCCCGTGGGGGTCCCGACCCCCATTTTGAGAACCACTGTTTTAGACGACAAGCTGCAGCAAACAGTTGTCTGACATCAATTAGTTTGTTCATGACAATGTTGTAGAAAAACACTTAGATTTGCTTGCGTCTGTTTTAAGTGTAAAATTAGAACACAGGCTTTGACCTGGTTGATGTCGTTCTTCACGTAGTTTCATTTTCCAGCAGACGGAGGTTTACTGCTGATTTACAGGAATTTACTGGGAATATAAAACAAAACCACAAGAAAGCTCGGATAGCACCACAGGTCGATTCCTCTTTCTCGCCCCACCTCAGCTTCTCGCTGGCCTCCCTCAGTATGAACCTCACTTCACACCACTTTCTGCATCATTTTCCTGAGAAGCAGTTGCCTCTGAGTGTTGGTATTCTTACTACTTTCATACTTGAAGTTCTCTTTCCTTCTCTATTTGTGTTTTTTCTGCTTTCCAGCTGTTTCTGCTCTTTTCAGTTCCTCAGGTGAAGCATCTGGTTTTTATCAGGCTTTTCAGTAACTGTTTCAGCCTCTTTTTGTACATCTGCCCATGTGTTTTGTAGGAGGTGTGGGCGTGTTGGTGTGAGTTGCTGTCCTACCTGGAGCAGGAGAACGCCTTCCTGGACCAGCTGGAGCAAAAACTGGACGAGACAGAAAACCTGCAAGGAGGGACGGAGGAGCTGCAGGAGGCGCTGGATGTGAGTGGAGGAGGACGAGTGGCACACTGAGTTAGAACAAAACGTAAAAGGTGGTTTAGCATGAACAGGTGTGATGAAAACATACAGTCAACAGAAGCAACGAAGGAGGAGACAGAGCTCATGGAAGTACAACAAGTGCAGTCGGATAGTTTTATGAAACCATCAGAACTATAAAAGCAGTATCTATTCGCAACGATGTGAGGACAATAAAACACAGGACAATATCAGTCCCTTCACTTAAAGGTTTTTGCTTAATCTACAGAGGATTTTAGAGAAATGTGCAGTGTCCAGTTCATCACATCTGAACAGCATCACATCATCACAGAGGCTTCAGTTCAACAAACCAAGCAGTCGTTTCTGTTACCTGGCTGTACTAACCACAGTCACACCAATGGACACAAAGCCGGCTATCGTTTCTGAGTTCACTGAGGATTTTCGCTTTTAGCAATTAGCACGTTCACATGAAAGGGGTGGCGTTGGCACCAGCTGACCAGAGTCACATATTTCTCACAGGAACAACGAACTATAATCCTCAGCCAGTGTGAGAAATTTAAATATATAAAGCCTGTCGTGTTTGAAGATGACCATACAGCTGTGGTCTTATTCTCTCTTTTGCGAGCACGACAAGAACAAACATACAAAGGATTAGAACTCATGCTTACTGTTGATATGTTAAGTTCAACAAGTGTAAGACTTTAATCAGTCTCTGGTTTAGATTTAAATCTGTCGGATCTTTCCATCAGATTTTTAGAACAATTTCTGTTCGATCTGCCTGTAATTTTTATCGCATGTACATTTATCAAGACATTGTGAAACTTTTATTATATCAGGTCCTTTATGACCTATTTTGTTTTTAAACTGACCCACTTTCTGCACTTTTTGTTTCACCGGATGATATTTGAGGCTTTGTTTAAATGATTACATCTCTTGAACTATTAAAGACAAAAGACTTTTCATTTTCATATCCCGCTTTCTAGCCATACGTCTTTGCTGGAGGAGACTTGTTGTGTAGTTTTGTGTCATTTCTTTGGGAATTCTCACTGTTTTCTGTCATTAGGATGACATCAGCGTAATATAACCAAATACATCCATATTTTTAGATTTTTCTAGTGGGAAAGGTTCGTGCCTTGAGATATAATAATATAATTGTGTGAGTTTAATGTTGAATTTATTCTTGTGATAATGGTGAAGGTCAGAAGTTCAGAGGAGTCAGTGTGGTATGAAGTGTGAGAGAACATACAAACAGGACAAATTGGGGGAAAGAAAAACTTTATTTGGCAGTGGTGTGAGATTCATTCGAAGGGAAACTATGATGTGAGCTCCTTCTGGAAAAGATTTCCCTTTGATACAGAAAAATATGTCATAGATCGTGTCAGCAAGTCTTTGGAGGACATAAAGACAAACTGTGTGTCTGGGCGCCTGTAAAAACACACACACAGTGAATCATTGCACTTTGCAGTTTGAGAATTTGCAGCGGTGGTCTGACTGAGGAAATAAAGTGTGTTAGCCCTAACTCGTGCGTTACATTCATGGAAAAATCAAACAATGCAAACAGCTTAAAACCTTGAGACCAGACTTGATTTTTTTATTTAATTTAGTTCAGAACAGCAAAAATACAAACAACGCTCACTTAGCTGTGTTTTACTAAGATAAATGGGAGAAGACCATTTAGGGGGACTCAGAATGTGTGGAAAGCTGTTAAGTCATGCGGTTGCAGCCACGAGGGCTAATTGGCCTTTTTCAGCCTCTGCATGTCATCAGCTGCCCTCCAGAAGCTTCTCCTGCTTCGTGAGTCACCTCCAAAGAAAGCAGCATCACTTTAAAGGCAGAAGGCAGATCAGCTACCAGCAGAATCTTTGACCTTCAAAGAAATGTGAAGTTTTTTACAGAACAGAACTTTCTCGTCTGTGTTTGTGCACGCAGAGCTTAGAGGTTCTTCTGCAACACCCGGAGGACAACAGGAACCAGATCCGAGAGCTGGCCCAGACGCTCATGGATGGAGGCGTTCTGGATGAGCTGATTCAGCAAAAACTGGAGGCTTTCAACATCCGATGGGACGAACTCATGGCAAGGGTAAGACAAATAGAAATACACAGCGCTGAGCAGGACGTGTCCACCACCAGACACCATGATGGGGGACAGCCTGGAAGGAGCTGGTTGGGTTCAGTAAACACTCCGTGTAGTTCTTTTCTAATTTCATTGTAATGTGATTTTTGTCCAGAGTGCAGTTTGTATTCATTTGCCTAAATGATTGTAGTTAATTAGTTTATTGCCGTGGGTAATAAAGGAATATAGCAGCTAAAACAGAAGTATTCAGGTCGGTGAGTTTTGGCAAACGTATTCATAGTCTCCCATTGAAGAAGGAAAAAAACAGCTTCAGTCACTGAAATAAGTTGAAACTGACAAAAGTAGTAATAAATAAAAATGTAATGAAAATCATGACAGAAATTAAGAAATTAAAAAAAAACAAAAAACAATCAAAGCAGCCTGATGGGACCCGTGAACTACTATTTAGCTGAACAACCCTCTGAGCCGATCACTGCCATCCGGTGTTGTCTGTAACTCTCAGTCAGACTTCTGCACCTGTTGACAGGTATTCTGATTTTGACCCACCTTCTCCATCTAAAAACAAAAACAAAACAGGTTTTTCTAGCCAATGACTCTCCGTCTCTTCTGCTGCACATTGATCTTTGCTTCATCACCTTATGCAGCATCATCCTCGACTGTCCATCATCCACAGTCCTCAGTAAGCACCAGTCTGCAACCAAGCATAGCTGCACTCATCTCAAGCACCGCCACTGGCTCCCTGTTGTACGACAGAAGAAGCCTGACCTTTGCCTGTGTTTGTTACGTCACTGTTCACAGAGAAGGAAACGTCCCAAATATTTGTATGACTTCTTTTGGAGACGGCTGTTATTTACTCGTCACATGTAGACACATCAAACAGCCTGACCGATTGATAATGAGATGATCGGCCAGGTCAGTTACTTACACCCTCGTGATTCTTTCAGCAGATTTCTTTTCGCCCTTTTCCTTTCACCTCCCCTTCCTTGCTGCCTTTTCATCTCCTCCTCTCCCTAATTCTCCACCCCTTCCTTCCTTCATGTCTTCCATCATCAAGGACAGCAACACGTTCTCTGCCTCTCGCGCTGATTCTCTGTGACAGATTAGACACACTGACACACACATGCAGACACACACTAATTGCCCGCCGAGTTGATCCTTCCTCACAATAGAGCCAGATTAATGTTCTCCTTGCAGCCTTATAAGCCTTCCTTTGTTTGTCTACCCATCGTAGACTGTGTGTGTGCATACGTTAGTGTGTCTGTAGCATTGTTTGCATGTTAGACTTGTGGGAAGTCGTTTTGTTTGTTAGCATGTTTAAAAGCATTACAGGTGGGTATCAGTGGGTGTGTCAGCATGTGTACACGTTGTGTTTGCGAGTATCTCAAAGGTGGATGAAGGACCAAATGCACACAGAGGCTAAAATATTGCCCAAAGTTTTTCCCCCTTTTTTTTTAAACTGCGGGGACGGTATCAAGGAATTCTTCCTTCTTTGTGAAATCTTCTTTGCTGAACCTTGTCACTGCCACATGAAGAACACGCTGTCAGATCTGTAGGACAGTTCTGTGGCTCGTCTTACAGCCTTTCAGGGACTTCAGATGACCTTGGAAATGTAAAAGTCTATCTGCAATCCCAATGCTTTTGATATTTAGTGGTTCAAAGTTTTCGTAGAATAGTTGCTTTAAATGGACTCTAAACACCATAGTGTTCTGATCAAAGGGCGGCCTTGATTTAACTCAACCCCCCTTTTTCCAAGATGTGTGTTTGAGAAAAGAATCGGTGAGTAAACGCTTCGACAGTCACCCTACAACGCCTTAACCCTCTGAACTTCATGCAGTGTCTGGGCGTCTTCTAATTTCATTTTAATCACAATATCGCGTCCCGTACCTCTATTACAACAGCACAACGAGACCTAAAGGAGAGAGAACTCAAAAATACATGCAGTATGTGCAATATTACAAATAGTGCTGTAAAAAACAGTATTTCCCCCCCATAGATATCTTCTGCATATTTGTCACACTTAAATGTTTCCGACCATCAGACTGGTGTTGATATGACACAAAGATATCCCAAAGAAACACAAGATGCAGTTTTTCAATGATGAATTCATTTATTGAAAGAAAATGATCCAGCCCCACCGTGACCTGTGTGAAACACTAATCGCCACCTTAGCTACCAATCTACCAAATGATCAAATTCATTGTCAGCTGGGTTCAGCTTCAGCAGCCACACCCACGTATGATCACTGCCAGGCTTGTTGAATCTAAACATCACTAAATACAGCCTGTCTGGCATTGTGAAGTAGCTGAAGGGTCTCAAGAAGCAGCACAGGACGCCACATTGTCAGAGATTCGAGAACAGATGCAAAGTCACTGACATTCATCAGTGTGGAGGGTTACAGAGTCACTGCTGAGGCTCTGGGACTCCACAGAACCACAGTGAGAGACGTTAAGTCTGAATCTAGATGAAATGCAGCCATTGAAAGTTTCAAAAGCTGATTTTGCAAATGTTTTACAGCAAAGTTAACACATTTGACCTGAAGGAACTCGACGGGCGACCTTTTCACTCAGTCTGGATAACATTAAAGATTACAAACACTGTTGGTGAGTTATAGAAGCCTGTCAGCATCTACTGTGTGGTTTACAGCTCAGTAGCCGTGTTAGCGTTACCAAGAGATGCTGTGAGAAGTAAAGAGAGTGCACCTGCAAGGAGGCACTGAAGACTTCTGTAGTCGGCATCCTACCTGGCTTCAGTAGGAGACGGTTGACGGGAGATCGGACAGCAACAGCACCAATCTGAGAGTTTCACAAGTGCACAGAACCGGTCTGAGAACCGGTCCCAAACACAGGAACGTTTGTGCATCAACTGTACATCTGAGTACACATTAACAGTTTTTAGCAGAAGCAGAGCAGATTGCATCCGAGCAGGGCTGTTGAAGAAAGAGGGCAGGATGTGGAGGATTTCAGTGTTAAACAAAGCATATTGCTTACAAATTGAAAAACTATCCTCTTGAATAAGGAAAGGAAAACTTTTGTACTCCGTATGATACGACAGTAGAAGGCAAGTTTAAGTGCAAGATCCGACCCGTCCTCATATCTTCATCCTCATTACGACAATCTCAACAACAATCGCATTTTATCAGTGTCACAGTTTACAACTTGTGGAGATGAATCCTGTCCTCACATGCAAAGAAAGGTTGTTTCACGTCTCCATCTGCAGTTCTTTACATCAGAAATGTGTTTGCCTTTTTATTTGTAGTGTCTTGTAACAGCAGAACAGCAATAAGGGAAAGTGTGGCTCACGCTTTGCCAACAGCGTTTCCAACACGACGCTGTTAAGCAAGCAGCGATGCTCTATCTCTTCTGTTCACGAGCACTGCCTTTGCTTTGTGTGTGTGTGTGTGTCTGTGTGTGTTTGTGTGTGTGTGTGTGTGTGTGTGTGTGTGTGTGTGAGAGAGAGGAAATAAGTAATAAGGAAAAACCTAGTGTTTAATGAGAATATGTATTCATGAGCTGACAAGTGGCAGGAAAACGGAGTACATCGCCACGGGGAAGGTTGTTATCAATGTTTGTCTAAATATTTAATCTCACTCAAGTTCTCATTTCATACATTATAAACTATGACACGGGTGTGAGAGAACACAAAACACTCTCGGATCCATTCACTGCTGCATTAGGAGAACACTATGTGTGACACAGGACTGGTTTAGGGCTATACTTAGACACGTTATCCGTCTGTATAGGATTAGCATGCTCACCTGTAACCACATATACGCCGTGACTCTTTGTATCACACACAGGAGCCCGCAGAGCTTTACGTATGATGTAATTGGTGTGTTTACTAGCTAATCTCGTAGGCAGTCGCCTGGTAAAGGATGAAGGGAAACACTGCAGTCGTTGTCAGCGTCCTGGCGCTTCGCAGGCAGAGGGTGTTGTTAGGGTTGGTGGGTCACACGGAGACAACATGCTGGAGAAAACCCGGAGTCTGTCCCCCAAGGTGGTACATGCAGAGGAAAAGAGTGTGTGTGTGTGTGTGTGTGTGGGGTTCTGTCTTGTGCTATGCTTGTGTTTATGTTTTCTCCTCTACTGTGACCTACACAGGCTGGAAAATCAACAGTTGTGTGTTTTTTTTAAGGATAAAAGTTTGTTCATGCCAGCATTTAAAATGTCGTATTCATGGCCAGTTTTTTTCTGTTTCTTGACAAGGAGCGATGTGTTTCCTGTTTCTCCAGGCAGCACTCAGGCAGAAGGAGCTGGAGAAGAGCGTCCAATGGGCCCAGGAGAACGAAAAAACGCTGAGGCAGATCCAGGAAGCGTTGGCCAACACGGACCGCCACCTCACCGCGTACCTGACGGACCACATCGACGCCCAGCAGATACCTCAGGAGGCTCAGGTAGGAGGCCTCTTCCACCTTAATCATATCTAGTTTGCCATTACCTTCATTGCCACATTAAATTTTAAAGGGACTGAAAGTTCTTTGCTTTATTTCTGCTCCTCCTAAAATTCTGAAAACATCACATGTCTGTCCACATTTTCAGCTGCATCTAGCTGAATCTGGACCTTCCTGTCTAGGTTTGGGTTTAAGTGGAGTTTAGACACAGCTTAGACCTTTGATGAAGTATTAGCAAACAAAAAATGAAATGTTAATTTTGACAAAATGTTGAAAACAAACAGAATGCTTTGAAGAGCACGTTGCGAGCAACACATTATTTGTAGAATGAAATAATCAGTAATGAAGATATTTTACAAGAACAATTGTTTTAGTTTCTGATTCTGATAAACGGCATTTTAAAACGATGACAGGACCTTTCCAGAGCGTTTATAGCCTAAAATGGTGAAGCCTACAACCTCAGCTCATTCCAGTTCCTCCTCTAGCAGATAAAGGCTGAGGTGCTTTCATCTTATTATATTATTATTATATTTTATATTACTTTTTAATGATAAATTATTAAAGGATCTTTACTCTAAATTGGCGACTTTAACCTGAACACAGCTGACAGGACTTGATTGGATTGGCTAGCCTAGCTGGACTACGTTCATCACGGTTCAGATTTTAGTGCCTGCTTCAAAGTCACATTTGTTCCATTTAGAAATAAAGCTGCAGACTGACTGTAACGGCAGGTTTTAGTTGAGCCAGGAAGCACCGTCAAGCTTTCAGCCTTGTCCAATGTACCAGACAGCTGTGAAGGCAGATAGACAGAGAGGAGTGAAGGAGCAGATCCTCTAAATGCCTTGTGTACAGTAAAACAGATCCATCCAGTCTAACCCAACAGCTCTCTGTGGTCCTGATTCAGCCAGGAGCTGCTCTGGACACAGACAGCAGGAACACACTGCCCACAAACAATGACTCCATCCTGCGGACTCTTCTTCTAACATCTGTTTCTTCCAGACACCTTCTTATGCCTTTGTTTTTTTTCCTCACACACACACACACGCACACACACACATACGCACACACACACATACGCACACACACACACACGCGCGCGCGCGCAGACCTTCCAGAATAATCAGACCATAGATGATGAAAATAACGACCTGTAGTGATACAGTGATGGATGGCAATGTGACAGAGAGGGAGGGAGGAGATTACCTCCACGTGTACTGCGACCACCAGTGCACAGGATGACATTTCCCTCTGTCTCTCTCTCATGCACACACCCAGAGACACACCCACACAGCAGAGGATTAGACAGTGATTGGATTAGAGCGCTGTGGATGAGCGTCTATCATTACAGGGCACTTGGTATTTTCAAAGAAAGGTGGGTGACAGAGACCAAGGATGTGTATAGATGTGTTTTTCATGGCAGGGCTTTACAAGTTATTAAAGCTTTTTGGGCTTCTGTTTCTCTCTCCTGAATGCCTCCTGCCCTCTTGTGTTCAGCAGAGAGAGGTGCACTGCCAATCCATTTAAACTGGTGGTAGCACCATCGCCTCACAGCTAGAAGATCCCCGGTCCGTGTGGGCCTGGGATCTTTCTGTGTGGAGTCTCCATGTTCTCCCCGTGCAGCGTGGGTTCTCTCCGGGTTCTCCGGCTTCCTCCCACAGTCCAAAAACATGCAGAACTTAATTGGCAATTCTATGTTGTCCGTAGGTGTGAGTGTGCTTAGTTGTTATTTCAGTTCTTTGTTCTTAATCTGGCATTTATGCAAAGATGTGTTTGTGCGTGTTAAACAGAAAATCCAATCTGAACTGAGCGGCTACGAAGTGGCCCTGGAAGATATGAGGAAGAAGAACCAGGACAAAGACTCGTCCCAGAAGATCAATGGACAGATAGACCTTACCCAGGTATACGCTCACGTGCAGACCAAACTGCTGCCAGATTTTGCTGTGGAGGTGGTCCTCTGTACTCAGTAAACACAATTAAAGGGCAATTAAAAATGTTAAAACCACATTTTCCTTTTGGACTAAATATATAAGAGGATACATACATGTCATGAGTATTTTTTTCTAGTTTAGCACTTTTGTGTTTTAGTAATTTAAAAATGAGATTGTATAATCGATTTTTAAATCATAATCCCCTCCTTCAATATGCTGTGTAATGCCTGATAAATCCAAGTACTGTCTGTTCAGTTAGTGTTGGTTAAATCTGAAAATCACAAGCCTGAAAAGTTACAAAAATAAAAAAACTCTGCCTGTGTGGAGTTAAGCTTTGATTAGCTGGAGATCTGCAGCCACACAGCTGCATTAGACCACTTTGCTGTCACAGAAGTCCGCTCAGAGGAATCCACTCCTGTCATGTGTGTAGGAGGTTGAAACCCACAGCTGCTGCTTACATTCAGCACCTCCTTTTAAGATGCCCAACCTTCTGATTATGGAGAGTGAGGTATTGCCTTTCACTCTCCAAAAACATGCAACACTCCCTCAAGGAGCAACACCAGCTTAACAGGAACACCTGATTGTCCACACATGACACTGCTGTGGTTGGCTGCTGAAGGTACATTATGCCAAAAGGTACCAAACAGTGAACTTAGCAAAATATTGTGTGACAGCAGAGTTTTGTTGATGTAGCTCCTCAACCAGAAAAATCACAGTTAATGCTTCAATTAAAGGCCCCAAACGTTGGCGACAGGGCGAAACAGTTGTAAGTTAGAAACACAGCAGACATCAGAGCCTTAAATATCTTGCCTTTATATCTTATTCACAGAACAATAATTTCCAAAATCCTGTTTCTGGAGCCAGCATCTAGAGGCTGTCGGTGGCATTACTATTCTGAAACATACTTTATGTAGTTTCTTCCTGGTTCATTGCAGTTTCTGCACATCTTCTCATCTTCTACAGAAGTAAAAAGCTTAATTTGTGTTGTTAGGATCAATACACATAAATTAGTTAATATGCAGAATCCATATTTATCCGAGAGGAAAGGAAATGAAAAGTTATTCAGCAAATAAAAACAGGCTGAGGAGGCCAGTTGGTGTTAAATGTTGTGCTCCTCCACACTGTCTGGACCCCGACCCTGTATTTGATAGCAGGTGGAGTCCTTTATGTCAAAGGGACGAGTCAGATACTTATGAGGTAACAGGTCAGCTTTTTTACGTTGTGTTCATGTTGAGCTGTGTGGTTGTGTGTTTTCAAACTGGATTCATGCAGGACTCCAGTTTGGCTGCAACAAACCATCCTCACATGTCACGACTTGTTCTCTGAGGTTTCCCCATACACGTGTTTGGCTCCAGTCGTTTTACCATTTTTACAATATGTGTTTGTGTTTCCGTTCCCCAGAAAATGCTGGCAGACGTATGGACCAAATTCCGTCTCTTCCAGAAGCCGGCTGACTTCGATTCTCGGCTGGCCGAGTGCGAACGTTTGCTGGCGGGGGTCAAAAGTCAGGTGGGGGTGCTGGAGATCCGGAGCGTGGAGCAGGATGTGGTGCAGTCGCAGCTGGAGCAGTGCATGGTGGGTAACCGCATCATGGATGGACTGATGAATAAATGCAGAGATTCTATTGTCAGTTGCTGCTGCCTGTTTGTGTCTAACAGAAGTTGTACAAGGTGCTGAGTGAAGTGAAAGGGGAGGTGGAGACGGTGATAAAAACGGGCAGACAGATCGTCCAGAGGCAGCAGACTGAGCAGCCCAAAGAGCTGGACGACAGAGTCACCACCCTGAAGCAGCTCTACAACCAGCTGGGGGCACAGGTCTGAGCGCATGCACACACACATAGTTATACAAAAAAGATCACGTAAGACTGATTAAGAGGCAGATTTTTCTTGTTTTGTGGATTTGTAGGTGACAGAGAGTAAACTGGAACTAGAGAAGAGCCTGAAGTTGTCAAGGAAGCTGCGTAAAGAGCTGAATGGACTGACAGAGTGGCTCGCTGCCACTGATGCTGAGCTGACCAGGCGCTCATCTGTGGACGGCATGCCCAGTGACCTTGAGGCTGAGGTTGTGTGGGCACAGGTACAATTCATACACACTGTATACAAAGACAGAAAACGTACACAGCGGCCTTCTGAAGGCCTGAGGGTTTAAGAGGCCACATCCCCGGTGTGAGCTCAAGGCAAGGATGGGGTGTATACAACCAAAACAATGCACTGAAAATAGCTAAAGCTTTGTAGAAGAACTGCATAGTCAGTTTAATTCTAGTGGCTACATGATCCATCGTTCATATGAACAACCTGATTGCTGTTTTAAAACCAGACGTACAGTCCATGCCAGAAATTGGCATAGATCTTGAAGTTGTCAATCGTTTCTCTTTCCTCTCCACCTTGTGTCTTTGTCCCCATCTTACCCTTTTAGTCCATCCACGGAGAAACAGAGAAGCATCAGCCACAGCTGCAGGCCGTGGTAGAACTTGCTGATGCTCTCAAAGCGGTGTTGCGGGGCCATGGGGGCCTGGTGGACGACAAAGTCAGCCTGCTGCGCTGCAACTGGATCGCGGTCACATCCAGAGCAGAAGAATGGCTCAACCTTCTGCTGGTCAGAACTAGAATTTATATCATCCTGTGATATTAATGAAGTATTGAGCCGTTATCATCAAAGTTAAAACAAATAAAGGCTCGATGTATTTCAGTTTGTGTGTGATGAGTCTAAGATATGAAGAATTTTAACTTTGAGTGATGTCTGAAGAAAAATATTGAACTTCTCCCACCATTTTCTAACTATATGAGATGCACCTGTATGTGTTAGTCTGTCGCTTAAGTGCTGAAATTATAGCATTCACCCCAAAAAATAGTTCTTGGAGGTCATCCTTTCTACCCCTGACTTGCTCTCTCAGGACTACCAGCGGCAGATGCAGAAGTTAGACGGAGAAATCGAGGAAGTGAATGGATGGATCAACGGAGCAGAGAAGAAGATGGATGAGATAGACAGCCAGGGACCCAATGACGCCGTGCTGAAGGTTGTCATGTCCATGTACTTTGTGTTTCTTCACATATTTCTTTGTGGTTTTTGTCTGTGCTTGTTGGTCTGGTGTCTGATTATTTTATATCAACACATTAACATGCTGAGAGGTATACACGACTTTAGAAGAAGTGGCACCACTGACAACAGTGAACTGTGAACAAGTCTTTGGAAGCACTTTCAGCCTCCATTTCTTTGAGTAAAAGCAGTTTCTCTGATCAACACGTGCTGCAGGTGTTGCGTGCAGAGCTGGAGCTGACCAGGGGCAAGATGGAGGAGGTGAGGGCTCTGGCCCAGGAGCTCATGTCCACCAGGGGGGAGAACTGCCAGGCCCAGGTGGGACCCAAAGTGGAGCAGGTCAACCAGAGATTTGACACCATTGCCCAACGCATTGCCTCTGGACTGGTAGGGAAAAATAAAATATTTTGAAATTCTTTGCATTCCATGTGTCTAATAGGATTTAACTAAATGTGTTTTATTCGTCTTTTTAGCTTGTAAACAGCTTTAAATGGACTTTCTCTTCCTCTCTGCTATAATCTTGAATCCTGTCTCTATAAATTTACTTTTTCTTAAAAGACTCTGAACTCACTAAATTTATTCCAAACTCTCCCCCCAAATGTGCTTCAGTCACAGCAGATAGACTTCAGACTCTCTGCACTCTAATACTTCACTTAACAGACTTCCAACCACTGATTATTCTGCTTTTCTTGCGTGTGTGGCAGACGGCAGCTTCGGCCAAAGAGTTAGAGCAGTACCACAGTGAAGCACAAGTCTGGCTGGAGCTCCTGGAGGAAGAAGCTAAACAGGGGGAAAACCTGAAGGAAGAGGACTTTCAAGAGGACAAGGTTTCTCACTCTGTCACAAAGGGACAATCACAGCTGCTTTGACTTCCTCTGACGTCCTCTGTGTGCTTACAAACAACATGTGTGCGTTTGTAGGACTGTGAGGAAGGTGCCGTGAAAGAACTACTGTTGAAAGGAGAAAATCTACAAAAGAGAGCCCCGGATCAGGAAAAGAGGGAACAGATCAGACTGAAACAGAACCAGCTCAACAGCAAATACAACGCTGTCAAGGTAACACACACACTTCACCAGAATGAAGCACAGTGATGCTGCTTTCTTTCTTAAACGGAGAACATATCAAGGCCAGAAGGCTGATGAGGGAGCACAGTGTGTCTAAAAGCTGAACTCGGCCCCATCACAGTGTCATTCGTCGTGTTTGACACTCACATACTGCTGTTTAGCGACGTGCTTAAAATGTCAGCTTGCTCACTGCTGCCATGTTTGAAAGTCCTTCTGTAAGTCAGTGCCATGCGTTGTTGGTTCGTCAGCATTCTAGGAAAAGCTTATTTGCCTTCTTAGATGACAAGACAGATACAGTGCCTAAAAATAGTATTCACTCCTCTCTGAAATGTTTGTTCTTTCTCGCCATGGCTTCACATGCACTCGTGTTTTTATTGTTCCTTTCTAGTATTTCAGCACCTTGCACCTTATTTACATGTTGATGAGTCCGTGTGCTTTCACGTAGGACCTGCGTGTGCTGAGGAACAGAAAGGCATTGGCCATCGCCCCGCAGTGGTACCAGTACAGGAGGAAGTCACATGACCTGCTGGCCTGGCTCGATGACATCCAGCGCAGCGTGGAGCAGCTGCCTGACCCCCCTGAAGGAGAGAGGGTCAAGGTGACAGTACATCCACAGACATGCAGAAACATGCCTTTTTTCTCTCATTACCTGGGTTTCTGCTTATCTTCCTCATCATCTAGCTCGTCATCCCCCACTTTCTGTTCCACATGGTCTGTCTTTAATATTTTTGTCATTCTTCGTAGGAAAAAATCTTTCTTTTCTTCATTTCTCTCCTCTCCCCCCTTCTTTATGATTTGGACAAAGGGTCCACGTCAAGGCTTTAGCAGCTCTATTCATGTGAGGAGGACTTTCTGAATAATTCTTCTTTATTGTCTTCATCATATAAACAATAATTGCAGATGAGCTATCGACTCCAGTAGAAGCTGTTATCTGAACGCAGAGGTGGAAGAAGCTGCTCGGGCTGTTGCCTGTAGCATTTTAACATCATTAAATCGTGCCAGCATTGTTTTGAGGGAGCAGGATAATTCATATTTATTAAAGCCACAGCCATGCAAGGGATGACTGCTAATGTATTGCTGCGGCGAGAGCTGGCGGAGTTTTGTAATAGAAAAAAATGGAGTAAGTGAAGACCATATGAAATATGTCTGGAGACAATAGAGAGCATGTGGTTGCATTGAGACCCTGTTTCTCTGAGTGAAGAGACTGTCTCTCGAGCTCTTTTGGCCGCTTGGAGACACGTTTCGATTAAACTATGGGTGAAGTCACGCCGGCACAGGTGCTTTATAGGTAACCTGTGAGGCGTGACCAGGCAAGCCGGTGTGTCTTGAAGAAGTTTCCACGTACCCTGACGAGCAGGGGCGACTTCCACTACATGTGAAATATGTAACTGGGTGGAGAGATGCAATGGCTAGAAATAGAGAGGACTCAGAAATGTCTTTTGTGCAGTACAACAAAACTATAGTGTAAAAATCATTAGAAAAGAAAAAAATACAGTTTTATTGCTTTTTACATTTTTTTCAAATTAAATCTTCAATCCTTATGTCCAACATTTTTCCAAGTGCTCATAGGTTTTACCAATACTGGAAAAACTGACACGACAGCACTCAGTATGTTGATATTTCACAGCGTATGTTTTTGGTATCAATATGTGACGTATGTTTAAAATAAACATGTAGAATAAATGAGCCATAATGAAGTACCACAGTTTAAAGTTCAGATTTTGTAATTCTAGCTTCAGTTTATTATTGATAGCATGCCCTTTAAAGCTGCTGGCAGGTTTTTAAGGTTAGAAGGTTAATTGTCCAAAGGTTTCAGTTGCTTCTATTTATTTAAATCTAACTCAGCAGAACTATTAGACACTGATTAAATGTTCATGTAGCGCAGCCTGTCTTTGCCTCCATACCACGACGGTATCACCAGATTTCTTCAGTGTACAGTCATTTTAGGAGTTTTATGACTTATTGCTCTTTTACAAGTTCAGTTGGGATGTTCTTATTTGGAAAAGGTTTTCCAGAGAAAGCCTGGACCCCGTCTGCTCCCCTCTGACTCTCTGTGTGTGTCTTTCACTTTCAGATGATCACTATGACATTTCGCTAAGCGGACGCCTTACCCGCTCGCCTCTGACCCACCTGTCGTTGCCGCAACTGAGATTCCACAGTCTGTCTGTCTGTCTGTCTGTCTGTCTGTCTGTCTGTCCATCTGTCCATCCATCTGTCTTCTAGTCTGTCCATACAGCTTTCTGCTTCTTTTCAGCCCCACAATGCTCAGTTCACACACAGGACTCACTCGTCTGTACTGTCCAGTGATTGTTCTCTTTCTCTGTGTGAATAAAGTCTTAAGGCTGTGTGCGCCTCCTACTTAAAGCACCACGTCCTTTTTTTAAATTAACTGTTTAAATGGAGCTACAGACATGAATGGATGTTATTCCTTGTGTATGTTTATGTTTGAGACTGACAAACATATCTCTTTCCTTTTATCGATGTATTGTCTTGTTGGAGTTTGTACCAGTGGGTAAATGAATGTGGTGTTTTTGTGTGTGTGTGAATGTGTTTTTGAGCACATCCACATGCCTCTGTGTGCTTACCTGGGCCCCCAGCCAGTAGCAAGTGACCTTCCCGGTTGATTTTGTCCAATAGGAAATTGGCTCAGAGTTCGACAAGAAGAAGGAGGAGCTTAAGGAGGTGCAGGGCTTAGCCAATCAGCTCTCAGAGGGTGGAGCCGCCAATCTAGTGGAGCCCCGCCAACTCCAGCTCAACACACGCTGGGTTGAGGTGGAGGGCAAGTTCATACCCTTCAAAAGACAATGTGTGAGTTTCAGTAGGCATGCCCTGTATGTCTACAGTACTAACAGAAAATACTACACCAGCTAGACAGCTCAGAGTACTAACCCTCCAGGCTCTTAACTTTTAGAGTGTGTGAGTGTCTCAAAGTATGCACAACATTTGTTTTCAACATTAGTTAGGCTTCAAAAACGTTTTGCAAATCCTCCTCAAAATGGGATGTGTGAGCTGCAGTAGTCATGCTTACAAGCTTTAATAGAATACTGAACAAATAGCACAAAATAAATAATACACTTTATACCATACGATGACCCAAGAAACAACATCAACCAACAAATAGTCTGCTGATTCAGTACACCTTCAATTCTTAGTTGAGTTAATGATGATTCCAGCACGTGCCTGTCAGACGTAGGAAGGATTTATTATCCCAAAGTTTGATGTTTAGATGAGAAGACTGATGCTACTCTCATGTGCGAAGTATAAATCCAGTTAGTTAGCTAAGCTTAAAATAAAACTGGGGACAGGAAAACTAGTCCTGTCCAAGGTTGTTAAAACACAGTGACCTGCCTGACTCCAGCGTCTGCTGCCAGCTCACTGTGGTGACGCTAGAAACAACATAATTGGGTAACTATGGTGCTGTTAAGTGGCATAGCTGCTAAATTGTGTTGCCTGACGTAGATATGAGCAGTTGCAGTCTTCTCATCTAACTTACAGGTTGGTTGGTCATTCTGTAGGTTTTCTTTACTGCCAATAAACCCCATGAAAAGATCAAAACTATAGTCATCAGTTTTCTGACTTCACTCCCCAGTGCGTGAGTCTCAAAGCCCACTGGTTCCTAAAAACATGTAAAATTTTAAAAATATCTCACAGATATGTAGTTTATTAGTCGTCTCAGTAATGTCCTACAACACATTTCTTGCAGACAGGACTTAAACAGGAGAAAATAAGGCTCTTGTTTCCTATTTTTAGCAGCGGATTAATCCACATTTGTTGCTGTCGTGACTATTTTGGATGATACGGTGGTGTGTATGAGTCAAAGTCAACTACAGCGTGTTTATTCCTGGTAATGAAGTAACGCACCCGTCAGCCCAACAGTGAGTCTCACAGATGTGTTTTAAATGTGTTTGGATAACAACAAGGAAACAGTTTAGTGCTTGACAGCGGTAGCTCGGCTGTATGCATGGGATTTGTTGGCAGAAAGAAAAATCCAGAATATCTCCAGTCCTTTAATGGATCCTGGACTAGAACCCAAAGGTTTAAAGGACCTTCTACATTTATTTCTAGTGACACTGTGGATTATAGAATCTTTGAAATATTCTCTAAAATGTTAGGATAGTACAGCGTCATGTAAAAGTTACTGTAAATCTGAGTGAGATTGTTCCCCGAAAAAGAAAGTTCAAGTTGCTTTTTTTTTTCTTTGCTGCATTTTCATGACATGTACATGTGAGGCCTGCTCACATGTTTGAATCTCATCGGTTGCTCTGTCTGGCTCTGTGTCACTGCATGCAATCACATGACATCCTGACAGTTCCCAGATCTGCCGCTCGCTGACGATGTATGTATCCTGTGTGTCAGTCACGAGTCCACCACATGCACTTACAGCCACACGGTGTCAACCTGGACAAATACACATCTGCTCTGTCAGATCTCTCACCGACAATAATGCACTTCTTCAGGTGCACCGAGATCAGTCATAATCAGTGTCAGTTTCTCTTTCTCAGTGATTCTCTGCTTCAGTAATGCGCAGTAAACTTCCTATGATAGTTAGCAGTCTTCTACTCAGAGCTGTCTAATCAATTAATCCCTACTAGCTCACCTGAGGCAGAGACAAATGTTCCCCACACAATTTGATGCTGCTGCCGTGTTCTGACTGTTTCACCTGCAATGATCAGGGTGTCATAAAAAGTACCTGTGATGCTGCAGTGTGGTGGCAGTTACACTGGATCTTTTAAAAAGGGAAATTTTGGAAGTGAATCCAGGTGTGTGTTATCCTAAATCTGGAAGGTTTCAAAGGAAGAAATAAAAAGAGGACGACACATTGATCGACATTCTCAACTTGATTGTCCTTCTAATGCCCACAGTTAAGGCTTGGTTAGGGCAACGGTTAGGGCAACAGTCAGGGCAACGGTTAGGGCAACGGTTAGGGCATTCATTCCATCAAACATCATAGGTGGGTGTGTTCAGAGCTATGACAGATGTAGCCGATCACACTGACTAATTTCATGCCCTGTAAACACAAGTACAGACGCCATGTCTTGTGCGTAACGGTGCACATGATTGACTCATACAGGAACCATCTGCAGTTAAATTCTTGCATGTGTCACAGCATCCTCATTAAGTCATACCTGGTAAACAACAGTACGGCACGTTGAATATTAAGATGGTAGAATTAAAATTTCATTTTTATTATTTTTAGTTTTCATTAAAATAATAAGTAACTCTATAGTGTTGTATTCACCAAAATACTGCAAACTCATTGTCATTGTTGGTGCAAATAGAATCACCTAAACAAAGGAGAGGAGCCACTCCATCAGCATTGAGAAGTAATTCTTGCTGCACTTGTGGCTGCAAACTAAACAGAGCCCTTAGTCATGTTCATCTCCTCTCAGCAGCATTCAATCAGTGCAGCATGCTGCAGGGCTGCTGCCGGTTCTCCTGCAAAGCATTCCACACTAGTGGCTTATAGATGTGTATTCAGTCCAAGTTGAACTTAGAACAAAGAGCAGAGTTGACCAGATGATGAGAGTGGGACACACAGGTTAGTCTGAGGTCTCATCTGTCTCCTGGCTTTAGGCATTGTCAGGCGAGGACACAACCTGAAGCCTTGAATTTATAGAAAACTATCTGAGTATCTGAAACATCAGCCAGTTTAAAAACGCCACACTTGCTCTGATTCTGTTTCCAGATGCAGAGCATAAATCTGTGTTTGCTGACAGGAGCTACAGATCAGTTAGAAGACAACTTAACCAGACTGGAATAACTGCTCGACCCAAACTTCCTGCTAAGGATGCAGCTCGGAGTCATTAGTGACCATCTGACCTCTGAAGCTAGCAGAGTTTCCCACAGCAGCAGACTGTGGTATGGTTTTCATTGTCACAGACGAAGCCTGTGTCCCTCTCATCATTTACATCTACTCTGCTCTGGTGTCAACTCTCAGGAACACAAATCACAAACATGTACACGAAACTGAACTGACTAGAAAACTGTAGTGTGTGAGTAGTGTTTACAGGTACTGTTGTGGGCTTTTACTTTGAATGTGAGTCAATAAATGAAAGGTGATCACGTGCAGGTCTCTCACACTGGGTTAGTCCAAGCATTTAGCTCTGTGCAGCCCTGGCTTTTAATACGTCCAACATTGACCACCATCTTTCCACCAGTCGCCATATCTTAGAGGATAACTTCACCTGTCTGAAGTCTGTACGTACCTGCCTGTATGCACACTGAAGGAAGTACTGATCACTGTCATCAGTTTCTCATGCTGCTCCAGTCACGTTTACACTAGAAATACTAGAAAAACAGGGGCTGTACGTATCACAGATGGATTTTACTGCTTCATTTCTCAATTCGGTTTCATACTTGTCTCCCTCCTGCGCTGTCTAAACACTAATCCAGCCCAGTTCAGTCGAACAGTCCCTGAAGGGTTAGGGTTAGGTTCCTCTGAGGTCTCTGTGAGGCCACTGCATGGCTTCAACAGTCACATTTAGATCCCTGCTGTGCCTTTGTGGAGGTTTAGTCAGACAACAGGCAGAGTTAAGCACCAAAAAGACACCAGAGAGTGTTTACTATTAGTATTTACTATAGTGAGCCCTTTAACTGTGAATAATTAACATTGTTTAAGTCTCACTAATGGAAATGTGAGTTAAAATGCAGCTTTGCTTCCACAGTAGCTTGTGATGGAAATGTTAACTAATGTAGGGTTTCACTGTATTTATTCAAGGATTCAAGGAACTTTTATTTGTTGTGCCAGCTCACATTCAATTTGTGGTGCAAAATTAGTACTCAGGTCCGGGGTTTTTTAAGAAAAAGCCTCATAAATAATAAGTACAGTAAAAACAAGAGCAAAATATAAGTAAAAATACAGCAATGTAAGTGTAAAGAGTAGAAAGTCAAAGGTAGGTATGTTTAGCACTAAGCATTTGTGCAGCAGAGAGGTAGATGTAATATTGCACTTAACAAGATGGTTTTATACGTGGGAGGAGATAGAGTAACATGGTGGACGTCTGGGGGGTTTTTAAGACAAAGGTGAAGTTATCCTTTCAACAGTCTCCCCATACGGTCCAGGTGGTTTGGGTTTGGCTACCTTTGCCCACCTGCCATGGAACTGTAATATTCTGAGCATTTTAAGGGCTTGTCATTTGTTTTGTCCTAAAACTTTTATCTGAGACTAAGATGGACTGACGTTTGTTATCACCCATATGGACCAATGAGCAGCTGTAGTTAATTTGCATATCATGTACATTTTCAGATGTGCTCACCCCGAGAATGTACGTATCAGGTTTGTGCTAATGTTGCTAATGATGAAAACAGTAAGGAGCTGTTTACCCACGATAACCCAGTGTGACAGACCTGTTCATCTGCAGCGAGCACAGTGCTAGTATAAGCAGAGAAACTGGGCCATTCACAGCTCTGTCTCTCCATTTCACCCTGTGACACCGCGTACACATGGCAGATGTTAGAAAAGGGCGTTTTAAACAGAACTCTGACAGACTGGGGGTCTAGAGTTTAAACTGGTCCCTATTACTGCTGCACCATTCTTTGATGAGGTCTTAAAGCATTACTTTTTAAATTGTGCAGACACCCGGTCAAAAGAAAGATGCTATCAAGTTGCATGATTGGAAATAAGTTTGTTCAGTAAATCATTCGAGTACCCTTTAATGATTCAGATGTAAGTAGAGTAAAAACAAAAGGCAGAGACGACACAGAACAGTCCCTCTGCTGCAAAGGACAGTCAGGGAAGGAGCTGGTAGCCTCCTCCCTGCTGCAGGCAGGCCAGCAGCATCATTAACTTCCTCTAAGGCTGCTAATTATGCTAATGTGTAAGAATTATTTTGGGTTAATTAAAAAGTGTCATTAAACAGGGGGGAGTGATTGCCCAAGTGACACAAGCATAACAATGAGTTGAAATGAACAGAGACAAGTGGTGATATCCCAGAATCTGTGCTCTGTAGAGGGAGGCTTCATGTGCCATGCTGATGTAGATTAGTGCGCCTCAGGGTCAGGGCTGACGTACAACTCCTGTCAGTTCTCCGTTACAGTCACAGAACATGAATAAAAGTAAGTTGATTGTGATACACAACAGAGATTAATACTTCATTTAAAGAGGATTTTTCTTGACACGGTGGAAAATCACATGGCATCTGACAGCCCAAAACAATCTGGGCTTATCAGGATTTAGAACCCAGAGATTTTCTCACACATTTAAAAAATAATAATCTGACTGAAGCCCCAGATTGGTTCCTGCAATCAGTTAAAAAGTGTGATTTGCTTTGATATGTTGCCTGGTTAGTGAAGCATGATACAATAGACTTATTTATGTGTGCAGTCAGAGTGTTCTACTCTTCTGGTCTGATCGTCCTCTCTGAACACATGCTGTTGCCTTCTTCTCTTTCTCTGTGTGTGTGTGTGAAACCAGGACTACCTAACAGAGCTGCAGGCGTTGCTGCGTTCAGTGTCAGAGACGGACTTCAAGCTGAACTCTCCTGAATACTGGCCTGCAGCTTATTATAACCTGCCTCAGCAGGAGCACTGCCTGAAGGTCAGCACTGCTTCAGAGCTTCTGTCTGAAGGACTGCATTTATCTGGAAATAACACTGTACCAGTCATTATTTATATTATTATATTGCTGTCGATATGACAGAAAATATGATCTTGGTCCCTCGTTTGTTTAGACTATTTCCTTGTCATGACATATTTTTATATTGCTGTCACCATGGAAATATAATAATCATAATAATAATAATAAAGTGTTACCAGGATGGTCTGAAGTGTACTAGACTGTCAAAATAAGACCTCTTACATGTCAATAGGGGCTTTTCAGGCCTACTTCACCAGTCTTTTTTGTTACGTCTTGTCAAAAAAGCCAAATCAAATTGACCATGATTCAATGCTGAACCACCAACGAATAGCACACTGCTGCTTTCTCTTTATTTTGAGGGGCTAAACTAATTATATATTCTACCTAACGAGAGCTTTAGAAGAGGCTCTACCATTGCCTGGATTCTCATTAAAAAGGTCCCGAACAGGATGAATTTTACGTGTAATAACGATGATAATAATATTAAAATCAAAGCCTGCTTTGGGTCTTTGGAGCAGACTAAACTGTCATGATAAAAGCTCAGGTACGTTGAACCGTGGTTTATAGAAGAATTATTTTTAACTGTCATATATTACATTTCTAAAATGCCGTATCAAACAGCAGTAGCAGCACTGACTCAGTCAAAATGTGTTGTTTTTATAAATAAATAATTGAGATGCAATACAACAAAGATCTCCATTCAGGATCTAATGAAGATTGTTGTTACTCCATCTAATTGTCTGTGTCCACATCAACTCCTTCTGCAGCAGGGTGCATACATTTAGTTATCTACAAGTTGCCTATTGACGAACAACGAGGACTATATCGTACAAATGCAGGTCTCAAAGTTATTGGCAACTTTCACACAACAAACCTCTGATTTTTTGGTGTCTGCTCCACACATCCAGGAGGTGAAAGACAACATCGAGCAGCTGCGAGGCCCAGTGGAGGGAGCGCTGGCCCGCAGAGAGGACATGGTTCTGGGGGCTCGGCCTTTGGGGGCCCAAAGGATCCAGGAGACTGCCACCCTCCTGAGCACCAACTGGGACAAACTGAACAAGCTCTACCAGGACAGGCTGAAGTAAGGAGGACTCACACACACACAATGCAGCAATGCCCTGCCCACAGCTCTATCTGATTGATAAGTAACAGCCAATCAGCAGGTGAGGTGGCAGGTGTAGTAAACACCACATCCTCAAGCATTCCTCATGTTCAACTCAAACAGTCCAATCATTTCTTTGTAGGTAACAACAAGTGGTGCTGCTGGAGCTTATTTTGATGACAGCGTTAGGCTAAAGCTATCACTTTACGGTGCATTCGGCTAATGCTACCTGGAGCTCCGTAACATCTTTCTGAAGTCTGATTAACTTTAACAACCTGCTCTCACTGACAGACACGTCTTTCTAGCAGAGACACGGCCTGCAACTGAACAAGTGCAGCCATCTCCACAAATCAGGACATTAGCTACTGAGGCTACTCTAACGGCTAGCGGCTACGTTAGGAGGCAGCCACAGACTACCCTGGAACAGTGTCTGGAGAACAATAATTAGTAGTTGTTTAAGATATGGGCCTTGGTGGGCAGTAAACGTGATAGAAGAGAGATGAAGACAGAACAGCGTACGGAACTGCAGGAGGCAAGCTGTTATTGATCTCAATCAATCACCTATCAATAAACAGGAGAGCGTGACAGCATCGCATAACCCTCAAACGTCATCACGCCTATTTCTGTTGTAAATATGAAGAGACAGTAATCCTTACTATTGAAGTAGTCTAGTTGTAAATGGTATGTTCCCTGCTATCACATGGTGTGAATAAACCACGTTTAATGTGTATCGATCCCAGGTATCAGTTATCAGCCTTTAATCAACACTGGCCCTAACAGAAAAAAAACATATCGGCATCCCTGCCTGGATATTATTCATCTAAGCCATATATTAATAACTTCTGCAACCTACATTAAGAGTTTATACATACAAGTGTAAGCCCTTTTGTATTCGTTCACCCACCTATGCTTTTTTCAAAAGTCCCCTCAGAGCACAATGTTAGAAATTAGAAGTAGTGAGTCTCTCTAACCTGCCACCGAGTCTGTATAATATACAGTTACATACATCAGCTTGTTCTAAACAAGACCGTGTTTCACAAAGTAAAAGAATGTTTTCCATCGACTTACAGCTTTTGAGCTCATCATAGAAAATCACTGGAAACTCAAGTCTGCCTTGATGCACATGGCCTTTACAAGTATGTATAACATGTCTGTTCTGTCTGTTTGTGTGCATCAAGGCGTTGGCAGGACTGCAACTCAAAGTGGCAGAAGTTGGTTTCAGATCAGAAGACTCTGGAGGAGTGGCTGAATGACGCCGAGAGCACTTTGAAACTGGCAGAGAGTGAGAATCCAGCAGCACATCGACAGCACCTCAGGGTAACACACACACACACACACACACACGCATACGCATTGGTGTACAAATCTAACCACAGGTTTGTACACACATGACTGATTGTATCCAGAAAGATGTTGAGTTTGTTCCAGTTGTGGATGACTCATCTGCTGAAGGGCTCTGGGTCAGGGCACATGAAGCTGCTTCTGTCTGCTCTTTTTCTTTGTTTTACGCCCAAAGCTATGCTATATGTCAGTGTTGCTTTCATAGTGTTGCAGATACAAAGTAACAGCAAAATAACATATAACATAGCCTAACGACATGTGACATATAATGACATAGCGTGACAGATATAACATAGCCAAGCAGGAGTAGAAAAAAGTCCAGCACTTTCTAGTTTTTCCCTTTTGCAGCAACATCCATTATTCACACACTGTTTTGTGTGAGGGGCTGCAGGTGTCTCGGTGGTTAGCACCGTGGCCTCACAGCTAGAAGGTCGCTGGTTGGCGTCCCGGTGAGGACACCCGGGATCTTCCTGCGTGGAGTCTCCATGTTCTCCCCGTGCAGCGTGGGTTCTCTCCGGGTTCTCCGGCTTCCTCCCACAGTCCACAAACATGCTGAGGTTAATTGGTGATTGTAAATTGTCCGTAGGTGTGAATGTGAGTGTGCTTGGTTGTCTGTCTCTAAGTGTAGCCCTGTGATAGACTGGTTACCTGTCCAGGTGAACCTGCCTTCACCCTGAGTCAGCTGGGATAGACTCCGCCCCCCATGACCCTGGTGAGGATGAAGGTGTAGAGATGATGGATGGATGGAAGTGATACCAGCACGCTCATGTCATCACCATGAACATCATAACATCCAGACAAAATGTTTATCATATGAGCATATTAGTGTGTTGCTCTCACTGCTTCCAGTCATTTCTATTTTAGTCTGGAGCAAGCTGCCACTACACTCTAACTTACCATGAGCTCTCTGTGTGCTAGGGCTAGTTTTCATCTGAAGTCAATAGAGTACACAAGCACACACACAGATGACAGGTGTCAAGAGGAAGACGGTGAGAGTCTGACAGTGAATTCTGCCTGGATACAAACACAACACGCCTCATCCAACAATATTAGATCATCAAATTTGACTATTTAATTCTTACATCCACCCCAAAAGCTGAAAAAAAAGATATGTACTGTGAGGGTAAACAGAAGCCTTTTTAATTGATCTGACTGCATTCACAAAGGAGAAGATATGAAAGGTTGTTGTGAACAGTTGATATTTAGTTATCAGTTCAGAGTGTGTGTGTGTGTGTGTGTGTGTGTGTGTGTGTGTAGGTGTGTGTGTGTGTGTGAGAGGGTTAAGCATTGGGTGTGATTCAGGTGGCAGATTGTGCTTTGAGGTACCAGATGGCCCCCCGTCTCTGCACAGACACACACAGGCTGGCTGTTGAGTGGCACTTGGTCACTGCATCTTTGTCTGTTGAGGTGGACATCGAGAGCTGATCACAGCAGCTCAAAGTGGACTGAGCATGTCTGATGATGCAAACACACACACACACACCTGAGCGTTCACTGTTGCCGTTGTAGAAGAGCGGTTGCACAGACACATTCTGGCCTGCACGCGGACACCTGCAGACGGGTCCACGTGTGGAGATGGCAAACTTTATGTCATGCAGATCTTAGAGAACCCGCACATACTCAGGGACGCAGCAGATATGGAGGTTAATTCATGGTTTCTGCATGACGGATGCAGAATCTGAAAGAGAAAAACAGATGCACATGCAGTTCTAGTCGTGGTTATGCAATAGCTACATGTCGGTGATACCCATTGCACTGAGTTGCAAATCGTTGTTTACAATCATTTATAAATGTCAGAGCAGTCTTTTTCTAAATGGTTGAATATTTCTCAGGACGATGTGACATTTCATTCTACTGTCTTATCGTGCACACAGCTGTTGTCAGTTTTCACCTCTGGAAACAAAATCAGTTAGCACAAGAATCATGAAAAACTAAACTACGGGTAAACACAACAACCAAGCAGTGAAAACACTGATCAGTAACTCTTTGTGTGTGTGTGTGTGTGTGTGTGTGTGCACGTGCAGGACTTGACGGAGGCCATACCCAGCAACGAGGTGGTGCTGGGTAGAGTGATTTCTGCAGGAGAGGACATCAGCCAGTTGAGCACACCAGACGATGCCCTGCAGCTCAGAACACAGCTCAAATTACTCAAGACTCGGTGGGCCAACGTCTGCCAGCAGCTGAACGAACGCAGGAGGAGGTTTGTGTGTGTGTGTGTGTGTGTGTGTGTGTGTGTGTGTGTGCAGACTGTGGATGAAAGTGTGTATCAGTGTTTACAGGTGCCAACATTAGACCTCCTTCTTTATCCACTCACACTTTACTTACATGTCGTAGGATCCAGAGATGACATATCAGAACATTCCAACTTTTTTTTCAAGAACACAGCAAATGAACAAATGGCCTGTTGGAGTTGCCTGTTGTTGTGAAGCTGTTTCAAAATCCACAAGAAAGAAAAAACCGAAGAGATGGGATGCATGAGGAGTTTCATATAGTGTGCCAGTGGTGGAGAGGCAGTCAGGAGGAGCAGGGAAAACCCTCGCAGACCTGTTTTTGGCCACTGTGGGCTAACAATACAGAGGTACAGAGGTAACCCTGACCAGTCAAGAGATCGTGGATGTCCTGCTGAGACTCAATATTGTTCATAAGATGGACAGAAAAAAAGAGTGGAAAAAGATGGCGCTAAAAAACAAAACAAATCCTAAATACTGCAGCAGGATGAGGCAACACAAATTAAACATTCGTGACACATAAATTAAATATGTAATCGTACAACATTTTATCACATTGCAGTAATTTTATCAGTTCTAATTTGAACACGAGAGCATTTGCTCTTATTCAGCATAAAAAAACAAAGAGTTTAGATTTCCTATATTAAAAATACAGGCCCCACCTCAGTGCCACAAACGCCTTTTACTAAAGTTCAGGTCCTTCATTTTGAATTCTTCATATGCCTGCCTTTATTTTTGATTATAGTCAAAGTTTAGTCTTTCTGGTGGATTCAAATCAGAAAGCATACAGGTCATAATTTGTAAAAACTATTTTTCATCTCCAGCAATTCTTGTGTGATTTTGGCAGCGTGCTTTGGATCGTCATCATTCTTCTGCTGACAGAGTGTCATTATTCTAGTATATCCACAAGCATTCATGGAGCCTTCTGGCAGCGTTTCCACCTTTTCACATGTGCATGTTTGTTCTGTTTTTCCATTAACTCCCTCATCCTGCAGGTCTGCAGAGGCGCGTACAGCAGCTGCAGCGATGCAGGAGGACATTGACAGCATGGCAGGCTGGTTGGACAAGGCGGAGGGCGTGCTGGCCATCCGTCTGCAGCCTGCAGAGCTGCAGCACATTAGAGAGACTCTGCCTAAAGTCCAGGTACCATGAAGACAGAACACAGTAGCTGCTTTACATGTGGGCCGCAGCATCCCGAACCAGTTAATCCAGTTGTGAAGATTTTATGGTGTCCACTGAGATGCTATTAGTTTTTACTGTTTAACCTTGACAACCGTATTGTTACGTATGTGTGCGTGTGATCTTACATAATTTGATTTAAATTGTCCTGCTTTCATCTGCTGCATTATTTCTTAGAAATTCAGCTTGTTTGTTTGTTTGTTTGTGTGTGTGTGTTTATATCAGGCACACGTGGAGGAGCTTCCTGCCAAGAAGGCAACGGTCGAGGATCTGAACTCCAAACACAAGCAGACAACAGTTCCTGCAGACAAACAGAAAGACATCAGGATGATCAACACCCGCTGGTCTCAGGTCAGCTGCTTGCACCATGAATACTGTAGCTCACAGCACATTAGCTCCTTAGGTTCCAGGTCTGTTTACAACATATGTTTGGTGTTTTGGCTATCAGCTGAAATCCTTGATGAATGACTTTGCTTTTTCTATGGAGGTATGAAGAATTGGAGAATTTGTGCAGAATTCATAGTGCCTCCAAATGCAGGCCTCTTTCTCAAACAGCCCCGGTTCTGGTCCAAACCTGCTCGAAACTGCATCTCTTCACTCACAATTACTGTTTCTGCACAAACGTCCTTCCCTTCAGTGTCAGAGTGTCTCCTTGCGCTCACACTGCTTCTGCACACTCAGATTTTGACTCCCCCAGTCCAGAAACTCCCCAGCCAATGAGAATGCCAGCTATGGCCCAATGAAAGCATCGCTGGCTCCCTCCAGTTCCCTTCACATTTTACCGTGTAACCAGGTTAATCACTGCTCACCCTTCAGGTCTTATTGTATTTACCTGTTTTCTTGTAGAACAACACATACAACTGTCTGTAAACTTGACTGTAACAGCTGCACATATTAGGTGCAACAAAGCAAACCAGCCACCAAATCAAGAGCCTCAAGTAAGTGCTTCAGTTTCACTTTCTTCAGATTTAACTGGAACAGGCATATTTTCAGCATGGGAACACATCCACGGTAATGTACTTGGTTTTAAAGTGTTAATTACGCTTAGTAATGGCACGCTGTTACTAGGCAACGAGCAACAAAATGAACGGCACATGTTACTGTGTTGTTGGACTATACCACCGCTTAATGCAGCGAAACAGTAAGAGCTGTTGTATAAAATCTAACTGACCAGTGTGCTCTGGTAATCATCAGTGTGGTGCTGCCAAGGCCCACCGGAACGACACCCTGTCACATGTTTTTATCCGAGTGAGGAAACAGAACATTCACTGGCCAATGAAGGAGATTTTGGCATGTGACCCAACATTTGTAAATGTCAAAGCTACAAGTGTGCCGACTGGGCAGAGAAACAAGTGGCCCTCAAAACAAAAGTCTGGCATGAGGAGAGACCGTACGAGGACAGTCTTGGCCATCCACGCCTTTAAAATTCATCGTTAACACACTTGTAATGGAAATATTCGCTGCCAGGCTTTGGAGGAGCTTTGTTTGTGCTTTCAATCGACAAACACAACAGGAAGTCCTCATTTCTCTAGAAATCCTGTGCTGCGTTGCCACACCGTTAACATTAACATACATTAATAATTATAATTATATAATAATAATTGCCTTGTATTGGTCCCCAAATAGGCCTATAGGTTGGTGTTAGTCGGTGTCCATGAGAATATAAATTCAACTTCCTTAGTGTTTAAACGAAAGATGATTTTCACACTGAGCTTATTAAATGCAGAAGAACAAATTAATATCTTCCTGTAAAAAAATAAATAAACCTAAGAGATGGACAGAAGGAGCAAGCAGAGGTCCACTGCAGACTGACCAGAGAAACTGTATTAACATCGCGCCAACTCACAGCTCGTCATCTCATAGCACTCCACACAGTAAAACCACATCATAGACGAAGTGAACTGAACAGTAAGGTGATGACCTTATACATTTATGTAGAGACACCCAACAAGTCAAATGTTTTTTCCATACAGCTTCCCTGATCACTGTCCTCCTTTAGGTGTCCAAGGCTCTGCCTGAGCGTCAGCTGGAGCTGGAGAGGCTACTGAAGGAGCTGGAGAAGCTTCAGGGTCAGCTGGATGACTTGACGGCCTGGGCCTCCAGCACCAGAGCCAAGCTGGAGCACTGCCCTGAGGAGCCTCCACCCACAGTAGGACACACACACACACACACACACACACACACATGAGTGGTATTAACACTATTTTCTCGTACCACAACATTCGATCCTAAGCACAAGTTTTGTTTGGCCGTTTGCTTTGCCAGCTCATTGAGGAAGTGCAAGTGAAGCACCCAGAGGTGGAGTCAGCGTTGGAGCGAGCAGAGCAGCTGTACAAGGACATTCCTCCCGGCCAGCCAGTTAAGGTGAGGGAACTGAACACTATTAAAAGTAACCAGTCTCATGGCATCCATTCTTTGTCAACTGCTGTTAACTCTATGTTGTGAAGGTATCTTATACTTTTATGGCAGACATGTTCAGTGCTAAATATGCTCGCCTGCTTTAATTCCCAGGGTGATAAAATAAATGTCTCCTTTATTTTATCACTGGCTTTGCAGAAAACATTCCATCAAGTCCATATTATGCACTTGTTACGTGTTTGTAAGAAAACAGGACACACAGTGGTATTCTGCAGAGCTTTGTCCACCTCAACTTGCTGTATGAAAATTAAAGCCTTTCTTTATATTTTCACAAGGCTATCTGTGAACTCGGTGTTTCCAGCAGTGACTGACCTTGTGTACCTGTGTGCATGTTTGTGTGTGTTGGATGGCAGGTGAAATATGGCAAGCTGAGAGAGGACTGGACGGTGATCCTGGAGCTTCTGCAGCAGCACAAGGAGAGAATGGCTGCTCTGCTCGTAGCCAAAAAAGCCAGTAAGATATCGGCTTCTTCAGTGATTGTGTCAGTTGTCACGTGTACTTTTGCTTTCCTCTTTGTGTATGTGTAATGGAGCTGTGATCGTGTTGATAACTGTCATATTAAAAACTAGATCCAGGGCTAGGACCAGGCTTAGGATAAGATCAAGATAGGAGTTCAGTGAGGGGACGCAGACAGCACCGTACACGACCGTTTAATTTCACCTTTTAATCCAAAGACCACATGTACATTGTGTCATTATTATTTATGTTATTAAGGATGTGAACACTTCCTCCACGGCTGTAATACACGGCCTATTTATTGTTTTGTATTTGTGTTCCAGATGAAAGTCTGACAGGAAGTTCCCTCCCTGAATCAGCAGCTCTGGCTCAGTTCAACAAGTCCTGGGCTGAGCTCACTGACTGGCTCACCATGTTGGACAACATGGTGCAGAACAAGCGAGTGGTGGTGGCTGACCTCGACGACATTAACAGCAACATTAGCCAGCTCAAGGTCAGGACCTCCAAGCTCACTGTTCGCTGCACTGAAAGCACAACAAACAGTGCTGCTGATGTTCACTTGGCTCTACAAGTAAAAAGTACACCTGGGAAAACCTTCAGGCCAACATGTGTCGTTTACATCAATATACGGATAAATTACAACAACATCCCAGACGGCAGGAGTTATATTTCAATTAAAATCGACAAACTGTGCATACAAACAAGAAAGAAATACACACTCTATGTATTTGTTTTATTTTTGTTTTTTGTTGTTAACGTGTGCAGAATAATGTGTTAATGTGACATGAAATTAGAGCAGTGATTGTGCCTTTTCAGACATCTTTGCAGGAGCTTGACCACAGGTACCCACTCCTGGAGAAACAGGTCACCGCGGCCCAAAACCTCAAGAACAAAACCGGCAACCAGGAGACTCGCAATGCAATTACTGAGCGCAGTAAGTTCAGCACACACACACACACACACACATCATGGCCTGATCTCATTGGAAGATGCTGTTTTTGCTTAAGGCACAAAGCCGCCATTGTCCCACTACTTTGAGAGATTCATGCAAATTAAGCAGAGAGATGAATCCATCCACATGTGATAGATGAAGCTAGCCAACACAAAATAAGAGCTGACTTGATCATACGCTTATGAACCAAAACACCTCAATAAGATCTTCAGATAGGAGAGCCGCCACCTCGCCCAGCTCAGTGGTATAATAATATAATATAACCACAGTTTCATTCAGTCTGTGGACAAATCCAGAAGTGTTGTTGGTTTGTGCTTTGTTTGTATGTCTTGTGTGAAATGTTCTTTTTTCTGTCGTAGTTGACAGGCTCCAGACTCACTGGGAAGACTCTCAGACCAAACTCTCTGATCGGAAAAAGCAGCTCCACAACATGCTGCAGGACTCGACCAACTGGCTGGATGCCAAGAAAAGGGTGGAACCTCTCATCAAACAGGCCAATGACAGACTGGAGTCATGGCAGGGCATAACGTACACGGTGGATGCACTGAAGAAGCAGAACGCTGATCTGAAGGTGGGCTGGACATCCACTCCCAGACTGCATGAATGTCTTTTCTCACTCAGTGTAGAAGCAGTTTTTCAACCTTGCATGGGAGATTTATGAGCAGATGGTTAGAAAATAGGACATTACTCATACACTTTGGATGTCACCAAAGACATGTAAATGTCAGAGTGAGTCATCACATTCATTTAATCCATCAGTTTCCTTCTTTCCTCCCTGCCTCTCCAGCTCTTTGTGAAGGAGTTGCAGCAGTGGCAGGGGCAGGTGGATGAAACCAACGCACTGGCCCACAAACTGCTCACGCTGTACGCCAGCGACGACACGCACAAGGTCACCCAGATCAACAACAACATGGCGGCCACCTGGACACACATCAACAAACGGTGAGCACGCACACCGTTATTATGTGGAAACACCCTCTGCAACTCGTCTGAACACATGACAAACAGACTAAATTATAAAGAGAACGGTGTGGGAGCATACAGTATGTATGGAACAGTCCAAACAGTTTGACTGCTTCCTGTGCTCTATGGTTCTGTGCTCTATGGTTCTGTGCTCAGTCTGCTTAGAACCTTTTCACACACAGGCCAAGTGTGCAGAAAGTGTGTTGAATGCAGACAAAACTCAGAGAAAAATGACAAAAACTTTCGTATTTGGTTTGTTGAATGTCTCTCTTTTCATGCTTCATAGGATTTCACTGCAGCGTATTATTTGCATGTTTTTGCTCCATAGTTTCCGTTTTGTTTACATCTGTTTCCCCGTTAGAGCTCATGAGACGGAGCATGCACCGTTATTTTCTGGGTTTGTAGTGTGTGCGTGTCTGGTTTAAGCAGCTACTCTTCCAGAAGTGCAACACACAAGCTGGTGTGTCTGTTTACAAGGCAGCTCGACACATTTCATGAATAACGATCTAATTTTATTGTACACGAGGGGTGAGTTGTCGAGGAGTTGAAGGTGTGCATCATCTAACAATAAATTTAGACTTTGTGATTGTGTAATTGTTGTTTCCTGATTTTACCTGTATTGTTTTGTTTTTTTAATTTCTCAAGCTGCCATATTTGTAAAAAGCGATTATATCAGGAGAACATACTGGGTTGATCAACGTTTAAATGGAAACAGTAAAAATAAAACTTCAGCCAATTATTCTCAGTAAAATTGTCCATTAAAATCCCACAACATGCTTAAAATGGAAGAATGTATGTGTGTCTACTTCAGCCTGCCGTCGGTGTGGTTGTTCATTGCCCTCATATCAGCTCGTTAACATGGATCACGGTCTGTGTCTGCTCGCTCTCTCTCCAGTGTTTCGGACAGGGAGGCAGCTCTGGAAGCAGCTCTGAAGCTTCTGCAGCAGTTTTACCTCGACCTGGAGAAGTTCCTCAACTGGCTGACGGAGGCTGAGACCACATGCAACGTTTTAATAGATGCCACCAACAAGGAGCAGCCTGAGGCAGCCAGAAACCTGCTGGCTCAGTGGAGGGTAAGACCCACACACACACATGCATATACATAGAGCCCCTTCCTGTCCTGTTATAGACTCCTGTTCCCAGACCGTGCACAGCTCCATTCAGCATTTTCAGGTCACAAATATTAAGAAGCCACTGCATGACCTGCTTATTTATTGTGTTACTCCAACATTGGTTTTCATCTCAGTTCTACATATTCATCAGAATGTTTGCCTGCAGAAACACAAGGACGACCAGCTCCTGCTCTTCTATTAAAGCTTACGTAATCAACACATACTGTACACAGACCGAGTTTAATCCATGCATAGTAGCTGCATTAGAACACAATGATGGTTTGTGGCTCATCGGAAATGACTGACCTTCTCCTGGAGATGGATGAATTCTGACAATTAACTGTGAGTCACTTAGAGAGATTTACATCCATATTTCCCCCACACGGACTCGCTACATAAAAATACTGGCTATTTATCATAGGATTCATATTTTATCATGATTTTATACAGACAGTAGGAGAAGTAGGAGCTGTGTTGTACAGAAGAATATAGAAACTCAGGTGAGTGTTAGACTGTCTAGTCCAAGTCTTTATTTTTGTGTTATGCCTGTTTTTTTGTTTAGTTTTTTGTTTTTTTTAAAGATAGGAATTGTCCAGCTCCCAAGCTCTGTGGGCACAGAGGAAACTGGTTTCCATTGGACAGCAGAGGACAGGGGTGCCATGGTGGCCTACAGGGCTTTTTATTTAGTTATTTATTTGACCTTTATTTTACCAGATAAAAATGTTTGAGAACCAGTTCTCATTTGCAAACATGAGCTGGCCAAGAGGCGGCAGCAGCAACAAATACACATGGAAATTACCAACACAAATACACACATGAACATAACATAGAACAAATTAAACAAGTGAGACGCATGGGGGCATAGGCATGTGAGTGAAAAGAGATGTGCATGAGGTGTAAGAAAGTGTGTGTGTGTGTGTGTGTGTGTGTAAGTAAAGTCCGGTGTGATCAGCAGGAGCAACAGTCGACTGCAGTCTGTTGGATTTTAAGCTTGAAGGTGGTGAGCGGAGTCAGAGTTGCAAGTTTGAGGGTGTTTTGTAAGTTGTTCTAGTGGTAGCTGCTGCAAAGCGAAAGGAGTTATGGCCACAAATAGTAGAAGCACTGGGACGATGAGCCTGTTGTATTCACTAGTCCTAGTATGATAAGAATTATGGGCGACGTGAAGAAGAGAGGACAGGCTGACAGCACTGCAGGACGGTTTGTTTGAGTCCAGCCAGGGACCTAGAGAGTCTATAAAACGTTGTTGTCTCTCTGTGCAGCTTTGACTGTATGCCTCAGGTCAGGGTCTTCATGGAAAACAGATCTTCTCCCAAGCCACGCTTCTTTTGCAGGTTGTCCTCCAGGACTTCCCTGTACTCTGTTGCATTCATTTTACCCACCACCTTCACAAGCCTGCTGCCCAGAAGCATCCATGTGATGCCACTTAATGGAGCAGAGCAACAGATCCATTCTCAGGTTGTAGCAGCAGGAATGATTAACATGGAACAGAAGAAGAGGCATTTGGGAAATCACCTACAGAGCCTCAAACGTCATCATCAGAAAAATCACCCTGCCCATGCTGTTTAGTGGACAAGTTCTGCAAAGAACAGTTCAGTCATCAAGGAAATGAAACGATGCAGCCATGACTGCACAACTATGTCAGGTGGAATCTGTCACACAACCAGTGCACTTCCAGTTTTTGACTTTAGTTTAAGACATCCTCGTCTCTCTGGCCCAGCTGGTATGATAGGAATGCTGACATGGCAGCATGAAGCGCTTTCATTGGTCCGTTGCTGCCTGGCAGAGAAATGCAGATTTGCCCCCACTGGGTTGTGGGTGTTGAAGGGAAGGCTCTGTTCTGCAAGAGAACATATTCTGACCCTCGGCCCTCACCCTGCACCCACACACAGTTTCTGGTGGAACGGCACACAGATATGCTAAAACACACACACACACACACAGACATGGACACACACTCACACACACACACACACAGACAGACACAGCATAGGTACCATAAAGGAAACACACGTGCAGTGTTTTGGAAATGAATTTTTAAACACACAGGTACAGACTGATGCCCGTGCATGCTTCCTTTGCACACACATGCATGCTCGCATGCGCGCACACACACACACACACACACACACACACACACACACAGAGCTCTGTCAATACAACAGCAGCACTGTGTGCAGCACTGAGATAGTCTTCTGTGTCCAATTATAATGGTGGCCAGCCAGGCAGCGTAGCATCCAGTGAGTGCACACACTCTCGGGCTACAACACCACATGCAGATAAAGTTTAATTGGAAAATAAGCGCACTCATCGTTTTATGCACCCTTTCAAGTTCTCTCTGCCTTTTTCCTTCTCGTCTATCTCTTTCTCACCCCCTTTTCTTTGGGACTCGCTGTGGCTCAGACGCTTCACTCTATCTCCCTCTTTATGTGAGACTAACTCTCCCTCCATCCCTCTATGACTCTCCCTCCCTTCCTATTCGTCTCCAAATCTTTCTCTCTGTCACACATACGTTTAAACAAAGGGCATTCTTATGCAGCCACACTGGGACCGAATCTTTTGGGAATAGAGAAGAAGAAGATGATGCTTCCTCTACATCTTGACGTATAATTTTGGAATCCCAGGGTAAAGTTTGGAAGATGCTGCGCAGGAAGGTGTACCATGTTCAGGTCGGGAAAACAAAAATCAGGCATTGTTCTTTTGTAGCTGAACATTTTACTTCTCAACATTAGTCACGGTTTTGTCTCTCGTGATCTTTTACGTTTACATAATGAGTTTTAGGATCAGTCTACCAGCTTTGTTTGGAAGTTCTGTCAGATGTTATGCCATTTTCACACTTTCCTTTCTAGAAATGTGTTTAGTACATTAGGTGATCGTGTAATGCTCTCTCATTTCCTGCCTTCAGAGCTTTCCGTTTTTTATTTTGGATTGTGTCCTGTGTCTCTCTTCATGTATCATGAACATGTCATGATCTCTAACTTAAACTTGCGGAGAGGTAAACTTTTCTTTTCAGGATATTATCCTCTAAAGCCACTTTTAATTGCTTTTGTCAGCTTTTAACATATAAAGGGAAGCAAGGTAATGCGTCCTCGTATCATACAACAGCAAGTGTCTCTGAAACAAGAAAGACTATCAGTGCAAAGGCAGGTCAAGTGGCACCTCCGAACATGGCAGTCAGTGCTTTGACACTTCTGCTTCTTCGCTGCTGCATCTTTGAGAAATGTTTATTGAAAAATAAAACCGCTTTTTGAAAATGAATTCCACTTTTCCAGAGAAAACCGATGTGTGTCTTGTGCAGACAGGTTTGCAGTGTGCTACATAAACTAAGAAGTAGTGGGAAATAAGGCAGGTTCAGACACGGGATACGCATCCTGCCGCCTTCATCGGTCTCTAAAATGATTCTGTCATGTTTACATGAATGTTCCTCACAGTGAAGAAGAGAGCCGCAGGATGCACATTATTTCTCACACATGCAGGTACATGAAGTGATGCATCAATATAATAGAAATAAAATATAAATGCACTGATAAATGCAAGACTAAAGCTTTTTAAACTGTTCAAATAATTATTACCCCTAATATATTAATGATTACCTGAACGCTGGAAGTTCAGTCACTGTGTGATGATGATGATGATGATGATGATGATGAAGACATAACCAATACCTTCCAACAGTAAAATAATGATGTCGATGATGAAACTCCACCTGAGCATGGCTGCTTAGTGACATACTGTTTAATGACAGCTTGTAGACTGTCCTTGGTGAAGTTACCTTTGCCATTCAACCTGCGTAAATGCGTGCAGTTCCCTTACTTTACAGATGCTCATTTCATTCTGCAGCTGCAGTTATTTAATATACACAGAGAATGATTACTAATAGCTATAAGCCTGTCTTTAACCATGCATGATGTAAACATACACGATTCCTCCTGAAATAAGTGTACACAGGTAGTTTTATTAGCCACAACCTGGACCACGGCCCGTCCAAAATGTCACAAGATGCTGGACACACATGTGAGAGTTTGTGTGAACTGACCGTGTTGAACGCTGAGCTGTAGTCGATAAACAGCCTTCTGATGTGTGTCCTTGCCCTCCAAGTGTGTCAGTGCCGTGTGGACGATGCACACTGCATTGTCAGCGGACCGGTTCTGGGATGGTCCTCTGGATGTGGGTCTAAACACTTCAGGACAAGTGGAGGAAGTGCCACGGGTTGGTAGTTGTTCAGGCAGGTGCTTGTCTTCTGTCGTTTCCTGATGGTGGTGGTCTCGAAGCAGGACAGTACTGAGGGACAGGTTAAAGATGTCTGCTAACACCTCAGCCAGCTCTGCTGAGCAGGTTCTGAGCGGACGCCGGGGGATGTTGTCTGGGCCAGCTGCTTTCCGTGGGTTTATCCTCTCCAGTACGTGGAGCACATCTGTTGTTGACACAGTGAGTGAAGTGTTCTGTGGGCTCACCTCGGATACAGCGTCTCTCTGTTGGTCCACGCTGAGGGCCTCGAAGCAAGCCTACAACTCATTTAGCTCATCTGGTAGTGCACACGGCTGGTTGTAGTCAGGGATGTGTTGCAGGCCTTGCTGTGTGTCTCTGGTGGCCCTCTTGACGTCAGAAAAGCGAGCACATAGCATGGACCTAGCGTCACTGCTGAGCCAGGGTTTCTGGTTGGGATAAGTCCTGCAGTGGGTGATGTAGCCCGTTCCCTCAGCAGCACTTCCTTTAAGTCCACAGCTGAGTCTGCTCTAAAAGCAGCAGCTCTGAACACATCAGTCACTTCATTCCACGCTTTAACAGTTTTAGCCGCCTGGGGATTGTCTGTAGGCTGGATAGATGTGGAGATATGGTCAGAGCGTCCAAAGTGTGCCCGTGGTGTTGCTTTGGAGGCGCCCTTCATGTTGCTGTAGACGTGGTCCAGGATGTTGCTGTTGATGCTACTTGGCAGCACGTCTGCTTTCCGACGAGGGAGAAAAACCTGCTGGACATCTTCTCTGTAAAGCATTAGTAAATGATGCATCAGCTGTTAAAATGCTGTTAATCACAACTCATGAAGCCGATCTTAAGGGTGTCTTATAATAAACCGAGACCCAGTTTGTTTCAAAATAAGATGGGTTGGCACCTAGTTCAAAAGCCATAAACTTGTTAATTATAGTGATTGTTTGATAATGTGTAGTACTTTAACATAGGAATACATTTCTGGGTATGACGAGGAAGGCAGGTCGTTTAACTTCTGCATCGGGTTGATAGAATCCACCGAAGAGAGATAATTACGTAAAAGGCTCAGATCCAATGAAGTATATCTATAAGCTCCTGTCATGTGGAGGTCACATTGTTTTTTGATCCTGATCCCATAACAGTGCACTCTAACTAAGAAATGAAAAAAATGAATTCCTTAAAAAAAAAATGGCTGCTTTTACCAGGAAAATGAAGTGTACTCCAGCAGAATGTACTGGTCCTGATTCTTTACTCAGAGGTTTACTGGTGCTGACTGGTGTCCGTGTGTGTGCCACCAGGACCTCCAAGCAGAGATCGACGGCCACACGGAGCTGTATCACTCCTTGGATGAAAACGGCCAGAGGATTCTGAGCTCAGTGGGCGAGTCTGAGGATGGTGTGCTGCTCCAGAGACGTCTGGGTGACATGAGCCAGCGCTGGAACGACCTGCGCAACAAAACTATGAGCATGAGGTGAGGGGACGCTGGGGTTCAACAACAGTCCAAATGATCTGAATCTGTACTGGGAGGCTAACCAGATAAAATGCCCATGTGTTTGTTTCAAGGGCCCACCTGGACTCAGAGATGGCCCCCTGGAAGAGGCTCCACATGTCTCTGCAGGAGCTCCTGAACTGGCTGAGACTGAAAAGTCAACAGCTGGAGCAGGAACCGCCTGTAGGGGGCGACGTCCCAGTAGTGCAGACACAGCTGGACACACACCGGGTAGGAGAAAGCACCACCGCACACTTTGTTCTGCACAGTTTTTTTCTGAGTTGTTGGTTTATTGGACCTCTTAGAAAAGTCAAAGCATGTAAAGTGTAAGTGAGTGTATGACAACGATTTAAGGTTAGAATCAAAAACATCCCAGAGCTGCTTCATTTCTCTGTTTGTTGAACGGAAGGTAGTCGCACTTCTTACATTTTTCTCTCATTCCTGACCTAGATTCTTTTTCAGTCTGTCTTCGTGAGATGTACCAGAAATTAAGCGTTTGTTCAGAATCAGAAATACTTTATCGATGCCAGAGGGGTAATTGTTTACAATACTGTTATCCCCATTCGAAGTCTTAGAAATATAAACTGTACAAAAAATATATAGATAAACAAAAGGTACAAAAACGATGTCCTAAAAATATACATATAAGTATAACAAGTGTATTATATACAGTGTAGTAAATAGCAGCAGAGTTGTGTTTGTGCTTGTGCACGTTTGAGTGTTAACTCAAGAGTGACGTGAAAAATGAGTTCTCTGCTTGCATTGAAACATAATCAGGCCAGAGTCTAGCTGTTGACTCAGAGTGAGGAGTTACGTAGTTTGATGGCAACAGGCAGGAATGATTGTCCGTCACACTCAGGTTATCAACACAGGCTACTGCTAAATGTAGTCCTGTGGCTGACCAACATGGAGTGGAGTGGGTGGGAGACACTGTCCAAGATCACATGTGACTTGGACAGAATCCTCCTCTAAGACACCACAGCCTGCTGCCCCAGCTCCCAGCAGCATATAGGATGGCACCGGCCACCACACACTCAGAACATCCTGAGTCTGGCAGATGTTGAAGACCCTCAGCCGCCTCCGAAAATAGAGACGACTCTGGCCCTTCCTGTAGAGGGCGTCAGTGTTCATTGCCCAGTTTATCATCATTGTGGATCCCCAGATACTTACAGTTCTTCAAAATGTCCACATCAACCCCATGGATGGAAACAGAGGTCACCGGCACCTTGGTCCTCCTCAAGTCCACAATGAGTTCCTTGGTCTTTGTCACGCTGAGCTGTAGATGGGACCGAGTTGTCCACAGCAGCCCTGTGCTCCTCCTCACCACCCTGGCTGATAAATCCAACTGTTGCTGAGTCATCAGAAAGCTTTTGCAGTAGTTGAAGTTGGTGGGCTGAAGGGTGAAGAGGAGAGAGGACAGTCCACTGTGAGGCGCCAGTGTTGCTGAGCCACACTGCCTGACACTACTGTGGTCTGCCGGTCAGATAGTCCACAATCCAGGCCACGAGGGGGGCAGCCACCTGCATCTCACCCAACACAACTGCATGGGTGGTGTTGAATGCACTGGAGAAGTCAGAAAACATGGTTCTCACAGCGCACGCCAGCTTGTCCAAGTGGGCATGGATACGGTTGAGCGGGTCAATGATGGCGTCGTCCATACCAGGTGGGACAAGTAGGCGAACTGAAGAAGGGCCTAAGCTGCTCCAAGACGAAACTTTCCAGAGTCTCCATGATGTGGCATCTTCAGCACAGGAGCGAGGCAGGGACCCTTGCAGACTTAGGCTCGCATTGAAGACGTGGTGAAGGACTCCACACAGCTGAGGAGCACAGGCTTTGAGCACACTGGGGCCGACACCATCAGGGCCTTGCCTGAGCAGAGTCTCACCAGCTGTCTCATAGCATGGTCAGCTGGGAAGCTCACTGTAGAGGGAAAGGTCTGGATGGAGGAGGGGTGGGGTCGTTGTGGAGAGTGCAGTAATCCTGGAGACCAAGGGAGGAGGAGACGGGGGCTCTGAAAGGCTGTTAGGAGGGGGAGGGGGGAGTGGAGTAGGTGGTGGTTGTTGCAGGCATGCAGCAGTAGGGTTGGTGGAGGCGTTAGCATCAGATCTGCTAAAAAACAGACTGAGTTCAGTGGCCCAGTTCTCACTGCCTTTGACTGCTCGACTGCCAGCTGACCTGAAACCAGTCCCGGCCTTCATTCCTCCCCAGACCTCTATAGTGTTCTCCAGCTACCTCACATGTTTTCTCTGAGCCTCTTCACCTTTAAGTGGCCCTTTATTGTTGTAACCTCCTCCCTATTGCCGGCTCTGAAAGCCCTTTCCTTGTCGTTGAGGATGTCTTCAGTCACCCACAGCTTGTTATTTGGGTGATGATGTGCAGAATGGCGCGATCTCGACTGAAGTGCATCAGTTCTTCAATGCACACAGTGGCTTCTGTTTACCACCACATGCTATCTGTGTGCAGGAGGGATCCTTACTGTCTGCAACAGTTAAGCAAGCAAGACGTTTGGAGCTTCATTTGAAAATGTAGTCATATCAGGGATGGGAAAAAGAACTTACCAGAGTCTTGTTTACTCTTTTCTTCTCATTAGCCAGGTTGTGATATCTGCTGTTTATTGACTTTATTATGACAACCAGTAACACATGGAATCATATTCCCTAAGGATGCTGGGAAACTCAGGCCAAACGAACCACCATTGTCTTGTCTCTGAATCAGCAGATCTGAAAATTCACAGTTGTCTGTTGGTAACACAGTTCTGTTGATGGCACAAAAAACTCAGCTTCCTTTCCACAGGGCAGCACCCAGGAAGTGTGCTGCACCTCACTCAGCACATAGCTTTGATCTGTAACTGGTACCTTTAAGAAAAAAAAAGACAAACATTGTCGTGCATTTTGGATTTACAACACAACAACCAGCTTTTCAAGACAAAGGTGAAGTATGTTATGAATACTGTCATCAGGCTCGCCTTACTGAACTCCAGTGTTTTGCTTTTTCCAAACTGACAGCCAGTTCTGACAGGACGAAGAACATCTGAGTCTGTTCTGGTCAGTCTCAACTCAGAGGGACATAAAACATGAGTAACTTCAGTCCTTACTGCACAACTCCACTTAGACTTAGGGCTTGTGTTTGACACTGAACATCCAGCCGGGGGTGGTGGTCAGAAAATGATCACTTTAATTATTTGTCGTAACGGCAGAAGGCTGCAGCATGTGTCTAAATTATTAGAGTCACTTTTTAAAATAAATTTTAAAAAAACGTGCATCTGTTTTTATCCACCTTTTCTTGCTTTTCCTGTTGGTCAGACAGTGGAAAAAGCAGACAGATGTGTTTCATACTGCAGTTCAGTCGAATAAAAACACAAATAATCTCCATTTCAAAGCCTCCCTGATTCCATATGTTTGAATGAAGAATGACTGAAGCAAATTCTAACCCCATCAATTCAAAGTGTTGGGCTGCAATGAAATGTAGTCCAGTTAGTGTTCGTTGTTCTCTGGAGTCCAGTCAGAGCCACACAGCTGCTACCTGAGCCCAGCAATATTGCAATATTTTCCCCCTAAAATTCAGAAGAGAAGACGTGTAAAGTATCAGAAAATAAAAAGTCAGCAAAGCTTTAAGTACAGTGCTTGAATAAATACACTCTGTTAATGACTGGCTGCTGGAAATATCAGGTTTAAATATTTACGTCTTTCATCGTCCACAGAAGAAACGTTTTCTGTGGATCACAGAAATAAGTTTGAAGATGCAGTCTGCTGGTGGATGACATGTAAAAAAAAAAAAAGAAAGACTTGACATGCTTTTTGCCGAAGGTCATTATGGTGCATGTGATGAGGTCACACAGTGCACCAGCATCACTCAGCACTCAGCAGGTTGGAGGGATCAAGAGGAAACATCAATCAGGAATCACGGACAAATGCTAATCAACCTGAGACAGCACTGGAATGACACCCATTCTGAGCCCTGTTGACTAAAACATTAACGACTTCGTGTCTTCAGCCTCCCATAGAACACACTGAGTCCAGTTTGTTTCAGAAGATAAGTGAAATGAAGCCATTGCGTTTGCTTTCACAGGGTTTCAGGAGGGATCTGAGAGCCAAGGAGCCAGCTGTGACGAAGGCTCTGGACGATGTGGGAGTCTTTCTGTCTGAACTGCCCCGAGACACGCCATCACCTGAGCAGAGAGGTAACGCACACATTTACAGTATTCTGCTGAGAGGCTGTCCTCCATAGTTTAGGCTTAAGATTGTCCCCAACAATGCTTCAGACTTGATTCAGTGCTTTTTGTAAGTGAGGTTATCGTACCAAAGACACTTCACATCATGACAATCCTTTTACTGGCAATTTAAGTGCTAAAGCTGCAAAGTTTGTACGGGAAATAGCTCATTAATGGGAAGCATAATCAGCATCTTCATTTAAAATTGTAAATAAAAGAACATTTAATCAATTTCTGTTGTCTCTGACTCACACTCTAAACCCTTACCTGGTAACAGGTAGAAGTTAAAACACACACTCGTCCAGCACCGTCTCCACTGTGGCAGGAGCACGAGTACAGGGTTTGTAGAAAACAGCTGAAAGTCCAATTTAGACTCACTCAGAACACTTAGAAAAGACTGAAGTTTAGCTTCTAATCACTGCCTCACCAGGGGAAGCTAGCTCCTCCTCTCAGAACATCACTCAGGCTCTGCAGTTTGACCTCGGATTGGGCAGCAGTTGGGGACGTCTAAAAAGCAAGAATCGACACAGTGCTTTTGAGTGTGTGACATTTTGCTTGGTTTTAATTCTGCTGACTCTCCTAACAGACAAGCTGCCTCCACAGCAGCGAGAGTAGATTGGTATATAAGTGAAACGGTCTCTCAGGAGCTGCTCTTAATTGCCACGGCTCCTGCTTGTGTTTTAAAAGAGGGAGCAGGCTTATAAACTCACATCAGAAGCTGTAGCTGAGGAGTTAGTGCTGTGAAGAAGTGAAGACATTTAACAGACAACCGCAGCAGGAATTAAACATCAGTAAGTATCGTGTTGTCAGAGCTTTAAGTCTGCAGCAGTGCCAATGAACAATTCATCTCCTTAAGAGTCTGACTGCTTCTTCTGTAAAATAATGATGCAGACATTTTAGATGATATTCAGCTTATTAATTTCAATCTGAATTAATTTGACACAACTAGGCACTTAGTGTAAATAGAGTCTTCATTTTGAAAAACAATTCAATCATCATTCTTGAAAATGTCCTTGTTTTGAGGCCCTTTTTTCTTCATCGGCTTTCTACTGTGAGCATTTGGCTCTGACTTGATCACAGATCATTCAACTAGATTTGCAATCGTTTGGCTGTTTTACTGGTGATTCCTTTTATTTTACTGTCCAGTTTCCCCTGCTGGTTAGAAGAGGGCAGCGCTCAGTCAGGAACAAGTGATGAACGTAGGACATGGCAGGAGTTTAGCATCTGAATGACAATGTTGGTCTATCGCAGCATTTATTCACTGCAAACAGCTGCCTGCTACAGTGATGACAGCTGTGGGAATGAACAAGTGACAGGAAGTTCTGGGCCATGAAACCACAAACAATACGCTGAAAGGCGTTCAAACTGTCTGTAGAGCTGGGTGGAGTGTGGTTCTAGTTCTCTGTGGAGTCATCAGTATTAGCCTACAAGTGACCCTGTTTCACTGGCAATAAGTCGTGTTATCTGTTGGTGCAATATAGTGTCCATACATTAACCCTCAGGCATCGATTTAAAAAGGTTACGCTGAGGACAAAAATGTCCACATCAAAAACAATGTCAGCTGACTCAGGATGAAGGCAGGTTCACCTGGACAGGTAACCAGTCTGTCACAGGGCTACACTTAGAGACAGACAACCAAGGAGTCTCCATGTTCTCCCCGTGCAGCGTGGGTTCTCTCCGGGTTCTCCGGCTTCCTCCCACAGTCCAGAAACATGCTGAGGTTAATTGGTGATTG